TCTCTCTCTCTCTCTCTCTCTCTCTCTCTCTCTCTCTCTCTCTCTCTCTCTATATATATATATATATATATATATATATATATATATATATATATATATACACACACACATATGTGTGTTGAAATTGAGAATTTAAAAACGACTACTCAAAATCAGTTAAATGTAAATGTTTGTGCTCTGTATCCAGAAAGCCACATATACTTTTCAGGATCTGGTTATTATGGACACAGATTACATGTTAAATTTCAATATTTCAGTATTTATATTACAGTAACAGAGTTATAGGCTTTAGTAGCTGAAAACTGGTGCTTCCTTATATCCTAAACATCAGGAGTAAAAGTGTATAATCATCACTTTAAAAGTTTGCGCCTATCTATTTCCCAGATATATTAGTGTGTGTGTGGATGGGTGAATAAGGTGCATTAACTTAAAGGCGCTTTATGGAGTTCAGTCCGTTTAATTTTATTAGTTTACGGGCAGTTCTGCCACATCCAAGATGGCGGAGACTCATTGACGTATCGCTGCAACCGACGAACAACGCTACGGAGCTACCGGGCAACCGGGCCCCCGGCCCCCGGTAGGGGTGGGGGGGGGGGGCGGGGGCGGCTACATGGGCAATTTGTTGAAATCTAATGTTCTAACTCCTAACTCTTGACAGTTGAATCAGCAGATTCTCATCGTTTAGCTGATAGATACAGGATAATTTCGTAACCATTTCGTAAACTGAGCACAAGTGATTTTTTTCTGCAAGATAACCCACCAATTATGCCCAGTCGTTTGATCAACTGTGAAAAAGGTCGTCACATTTAAATTGGAGATAACCGTGACTAATTCTATACAAAAAAGCACTATTGTAATCACTGATAAACGGTTTTCCGTTGGCAGAATAGATGTTTTTTTCTTTCACTAATAACTTTAACATGTATGTAAAACATTCACATTACCTTCTAGTTTCAACTCTTTACTACATTTATTGCAATTGGCCCTATGCAGGAGGTTTTTCCCTAACTTCAAAGTCCAAAAATACCAATCTAAAAGTTCCTGGGATGCATTGTTTTGATTTTAACCAAACACGTTCATTTTCAATATTGTGATATAGCTTTTATTTAAAAGAAGTAAAAATGTCCTTTGACAAATGGTATGAAATTTTCCTTAAACAAGGGTACATGTGTTCTACACAATTCTGTTAAAGTCTGATGTGAGACTTGAATGAAAGTGTTGAATTGTGCAAATATTTGCAAAAAGAATCAAGACGGTATCATTTGGATTTTGTGCAAAGCCACGGTTACGTGGAGCGATGTTAATTCAGATTAGGGCGTTCTCTGAATTCAGTTCAGTCCCCAAATAATTTGCTGCTGTTTTCTTTACACTTCAAGACTTTTTTTATCTGAATGTTTAAAAATGCCAATTTAAAAACTGAGTTGAGATAGTTTCTTCAGTGAAATATGCCTCCAGAAAAGTCCGTTTGAATTATAAAATTCAAACGGACTAAAGCCTCTTTAGCCTGATGACGATCTACTGCGGTCTCCTGATTGGCTCTGAGAGGTCACATGATGGCATGACTCAGTAGAGTCTCCTGCTCTCCACGCTGCCTTCTTCCTCTCATAGCAGGTGCCAGTGATCCTTAACTGTATCCCTCGTGGTGACCGACTAAACGAGAGAGAGGTTTCGGGAAAGCAAAAAGAAGACTCTTCAAATAAAGCGACCTCGGTGACGCCGCGTGGCCTCCCGCCTCTGGTGAAAACATTAGCCTAGCTTAGCTAACGCAGCTGCTAACGTAAACAACATGAGGCAGCGCTTTCTCAGACAGTAACCAGGCTCAACATTTGTGTCACATTCAGTGACTGGTAAGTAGTCAATCAGCGGTCCAATACAAATATATTGTTTTTGTATCTGTTCCTACTGGTCTTTTGTTGAGTTTCATGACACAACGTGGCTGAAATAAACGCATTTTCCGCATTAAGTGAGCACATACCTTGTTTTGTTCTAATTTATTTTAGTTCAGAGTTGGCCCATTTTATTAAGTCCTTCTTGCGTCAGTTAGAAACAAATTTTCCATTCATTTGTGACACAGACTTGCCTTTACATGTCCTACACCACACCAGAAGAAACATTAAATTCACAATGCTTGACAGGAAGGTTTTGGCACAACCAGCTGACACATGATCCCACTGCAGCCCAAGTCTTAATATCAAGAACCTCGTGAACTTTCATCAAAATATGTGTGAGGGAAGGAGAAAAGTAAGACTGATGCGGGATAAGAAAACATTTTGCCTTCATCCCCCCCAAGGAGAACAAAAACAGTGGAGTTTCATTCAAAAAAGAAAGTGCCTGAGAGTGGAATGTTGTTATGATTTGAATGGTGTGGAGACAAACACCAAACTGGATTAAACGGGTAAAGAAAATGGACGGATGGAGCAAAAAAGTGTCTGCAATTGAAGATGTATTTTTGCTTCGATGATTCTATAAGACATCACTGTCTTTTTCCTGTAGAGCTCTGTCCAGCAGAGATGAATAGTGAAAACTTCACCCTCAGTGAGAAGATCGTCTCACCCTCCTACATTCGACAGGGGTCTCAGGCTCGCCGTGGCCATGAGCAGCTCATCAGACACTTACTGGAGCAGGTAAGGGTGACGCCCACGTGCTTCAGTGTCCCTTCAGCGCCGCTACAGACACACACAGTCACTTTTTTGCATCTATTGTGCATCACAGGGAAAGTGCCCAGAAGAGGGATGGAGTGAGAGCACCGTCGAGCTTTTTTTGAACGAGCTGGCTGTGATGGACAGCAATAACTTCCTGGGAAACTGTGGCGTAGGAGAGAGGGAGGGCCGGGTGGCATCTGGGCTAGTGGCAAGAAGACATTACAGGTTCAAGTTTGGGCTTTTCTTTTATTCATTTAGATATTCCCTGTTTCGTTTGCATTTACAAGCATGGTTAAATGTTCTCATGCACACTTGTTTTCACTTGCCAGATACTTGCTTACTCGTCACAGATGATTCTCTGACGACATTGAGTGTTGGGTGGGAAGTTTTCTCACAATTGATTGCGTAATTTAAGTTACACTGCAGTATTAGCACTAGGACTAGTATTCTTAGCTTGTATACTAAACAGAAGGAGATGCCAGCCAACAAACCATGGGAGCGGAGCAAAGCAACAATGGAGGGTTTACCACACCAGGACATTTCTGCACATTGAAGCAGAACTGTAAGATACAGACATTTATGGGTGGATGGAACATTGAAAGTGTCAGGAATAGTGTTCATAAAAATCTGTACAATGGATCCATTGTAAAAGTGGAAATGCCTGAGGTAACGTCTTTTTCGTTATTTTCGTTCATGATCGTTCTTAACCAGCTCTAATCATCCTTATTGGTGTAATGGTGAGGTTCTGCATATCCACTCTTAATTCAAATTTTTTGTTTTTAACCAGTGCAATAACTCATATTCACTCATTCTCTTAGCTAGAAAGTTGAAACTGTTCCCAATATGCTGTTTGCTGCAGGTTGATCCATGGTATAGGTCGCTCAGGTGACATCGCTGCTATTCAGCCTAAAGCTGCAGGATCAAGTCTGCTCAACAAGCTAACAAACTCAATTGTGCTGGACATACTGAAGCTCTCAGGTATTGCACTTTTTTTAACGTGTGGTGGGTGTAGTTTCTTGATATGTTTTTCTGCGTCATTTTCCATGAGGCAAAGTAGCATTGTTTGTAAGACCAACTTCAAAATGTCCACATTCTTTAAACCACACAGCCCCTATTTGTAACATAAGTTCACATTAAGATGTGTTTTTTAAACTCTAAATAACCAAACGTCTTTGCAGAAGGTCAAATGTAACCATGCCCTCTTCCATCTTTGTTCAAGGTGTTCGTAGTGTGGCTAGCTGCTTTGTTGTTCCTATGGCAACTGGAATGAGCTTGACTCTGTGCTTCCTGACCCTTCGTCATCAAAGGCCCAAAGCCCGCTACATTATTTGGCCCCGCATTGACCAGAAGTCCTGTTTCAAATCAATGGTCACAGCAGGTATGATCGAAATCAGTGTCCTGTCAGCCATGCATCCAGTTAATTGGTTATTAGTTATTGTCTTACATTGTTTTTTTTTGTTTTGTTTTTTTCAGGCTTTGAACCGATTGTGGTAGAGAATGTCCTCGAGGGCGATGAGTTGAGGACAGATTTGGAAACTGTGGAACGCAAGATAAAGGAGCTTGGAGCCGAGAACATCCTGTGTGTTCATTCTACGACCTCCTGCTTTGCTCCGCGTGTCCCCGACAGGTAATGGCAATGGCAGCTTTCCCAAAGGCTCCATTCTACATCCGCATCATAAGTGGAATCTTTATTATTATGAGCTTTTGTCCTTTTTTGTTGTCTGGCAGGCTGGAGGAGCTGGCCACTATGTGTGCCAAATATGACATTCCCCACATTGTCAACAATGCATACGGAGTACAGTCGTCCAAATGCATGCACCTTATACAGCAGGTATACTCATTCTGCCACTCACTCCAAGTCCAGCTCCATACTTTGAAACAAGTCAAATATTTCATTCTGTTCAGCAGAATGGTCCACTGAATATAAATGTCATTATTGGACTGTCCTCATTAGGGAGCTCGTGTGGGAAGAATTGATGCATTTGTTCAGAGTTTGGACAAGAACTTCATGGTTCCGGTAGGTGGCGCCATAATCGCAGGTTTTGACGAGTCCTTCATTCAGGAGATCAGCAAGATGTACCCAGGTGAGTCGTTTTTTATCCTGAGGCTGAGCTAATGTTAAGTTCCAGAAGATGCTTAACCTCTTTTTGTCCGTCTCCATCCAGGTCGAGCTTCGGCTTCACCCTCACTTGACGTCCTCATTACCCTTCTCACTCTGGGAGCCAGCGGCTATAAGAAGTACCTTTCAGAAAGGAAGGTGAGGACATGTACACGTTCATGAAGGGACTAATAATTTGTTGAATTGTGTGTTGCGTGACGGTACGTGCACGGCAGCTTTAGGCTTCAGAGAGCACTGTGGGGGGAGGAGTATGCTATGGCAAGACATTGATCCAGAAGTTTTTAAAACCTCCCCTGGTGGCTCACTGCTTTAAAGCACAGTTGCTCACAATGCAGCAATCCACTCTTAAACGATAGGCACTGCAGCATTCCTACACCTCCACACTGCTGTAGAATAAATGTACCAAACCTGGACGAACTCTGCTCTGCTTGAAACACACTCTATAAAACCCGAAAAATAACATGAAGGTGGGAGTTTTTCTCAGGGGAAGGAGTAGATGCTAGACAACACCCAAAAGTGCCAGTTATTAAAAAGAAAACAACAACACATCCCTCCAGCAGAAAAATCAGCCAAGGAAATTCATCTGCCCGTTTCTATGAGCTGACACCATCAAAGCTTATTGATTTCCATCCTTCTGCCGGATGCATAATTAATGTACAGAATCACTTTTTCCATCATGTCTGCAGATCTAAGTGAGTTCCCCTAATCTCTCTTGAGATCATAAGCTTTAAGTAATTTAGCCAGTATGTATTAATGTTGGTTTATATCCTGTTACACCACAAATGAAGGACACAACTTATTTTATTTAAGATTACCAGTAGATGAGTGAGAGTTGTTGTTGTAGTTGAGGTTTACTCATCACACACACACAGACTTATTGTCTGGAGACTCAAAGCCGTCCACTCTCCCCACAAACTGCCCCCCCCCTCTTCTTCCTTTGAGATAATAAAGTTGCTCTTTGTTTGTGGAGAACAAGGGACCCTTGGGGACACTTGAGACATTGTTTGAATACGCTTTGTGTTCAACACTTGACTGAGACAATATTCTTAAAGCTTTCACACCACACGCACGGTATGAGTCAGCAGAGTATGTCGACACGCACACCCACTGTTGCAGTGAGTAGAGCCTTTAATGTGTAATGCTTCACTGGGGAATTGCTAGTAAGTGGCAAAAAAAAAGAGAGACAAAAACTGTAGTTGGTTGTTGTGCAGCTTCCCTGCCTGGCAATTCAGTCTCCACACACAGCTTCCAGCTCGGAGCCGAACACCTTGTCAGCACCTTTAAAACAAGTGGATGTACAAATCTCAGTTTCAAAGCCCTCATTCGTCTTCCCCTGTTCTTCCCAGAGGTGGATGTGTGATTAATCAAGGACAGAGAGGAATTTGGAAGCGGTTCTTCCACAAAAGCACTTTTAGCCCGCTCTGATACGACGTCTTTCCAGCCCTGGGAAACTGGCGCTACGGTGGCACCAACTCTCCCAGGGCCATAGAAAAGAAATGCTTACTTCAGGGGTTGGATGTTACCGAGACTAGCCAGACACTCTGCAATGCCCTGGAGGCCAAATTATAAATATAGAGCTGCAGCATGAATGTTAATTAGAAGTAGCAGAGAGGTTGTGCATGTGATCTAAGCATCACCAGTAGTGTGGAGAGTGTGGTTCCTGGTAGACAAAAATCCCACTATTCTTTATAAAACCAACTTAAAATTGGCTCCAGCACGGAACTAACATGAGTATATGTGGACATGGTGCCCGCACTTAAACCTGGAGGGAAGCACACACAGTCAGGCAGGCAGAGGAGAGACTGAAGGGCTAAGGGAGGGGTTGGAACTGCTACCTCTTATATTTGCTTGAGTTGCAATAAAACGAAGGCTGGCGCTGTTACAGTAAAGCTGTGGCAGTGGGCAGTGTGCAAAAAAGGCACCTACTTCTATTTATAGCCCTTTTATGTTGCCCCTGCAACCTTTTCTTTCTTTTCATGTGTGTCTGCATGGCCTGCAGGAGATTTATTCATTCCTGGCTCAGGAGCTGAAGAGTCTGGCCTCTGCACACGGGGAAAGATTGCTTCACACCCCACACAACCCCATTTCTCTGGGTGAGCACAAAGTACTGATTACAAAGCAGCAGGCCCCTCACACTGTCATATTTTTGTAAATCATGTTTCTGACCTTGTATCTGTGCCTTTCCCCCATCAAATCATTGTGCTTGTTGTGATGGGTGTGGTTCTTCTCCCATCCAGCCATGTCTCTAGATGGTCTCCAGGCTGAAAGCGACAAGGCGGTGACTCAGCTGGGCTCCATGTTATTTACCCGACAAGTGTCCGGAGCCAGGTAGGAACACTTGGCAAAGGGCATGTGAATAGTTTGAGCTTGAGATGGATGGATGGTTTCTCTGTCTCCTCAGAAATTAGAGGGTGTTCTGTGTTTTGCCAAACAAAATTGAAGGTGAGCATCAGCAATCAGGCAAATGGATGAGTGGAAACTACTTTAGAAGATTAGATAGCTTATCCTTTGAGGGTCCCTGCCTAATTTAATTGTATGCCTCTAGTTTCCATTAGATAGGGAGAGATATGGCATCATCTGAGACAATGAGCATGAACCTGGGTTCAACTTTAACGGTCATTTCTTTTTTGCCAGCAGTGGTCATTTTTGGTTTGCTTTGTGATGGTTTTTTTTGTCAAGGTCATGGATCTGCTTTAAAAGATCTCTGCCTGTATATATTTTGCATAATTAATGAGAATTACTGACAACTAAGGTTTATGTTTCAATGGCACATATTCATTTTCACAATTTCTAGCAGGATTTAGAGCAGTGATATTCTCAACAGTATAGTGACAGGGAGCCATCTTATTTCTTAACTACGTCCAGCAAATCGGATGAATTAAGTTAGATCTGCTTATTGCATTGCATTTCCCTGCAATAATAGTCTCCCACTGTGTTTGTTGCCAGCCAGTGGTTGCAAAAGTATTGCGTTTGCTATTTGAAAGTCAAAAAATGTAAAGAAGGCCAGCATTGAAAATTTGACATTCTACACAGACATTGTGATTTATTGAAGCCTAAGGGTGTCAGCAAGCCAGTTTAGCTTCAGTCATTGTCTAAACAAAGCCATTTTATTTCCCCTTTTTTCTATGTTCTTTTTCTTCACTTATCAAATCTACCTGTATTTTTATGTGAACATTAATATTTTATCTAGTCTTTAGTTTAGTCTTGTTTCACAGCCTTTGGGGATGTTTTGTCATCCTGAATGTATATATTAGCAAAAAAGACTTTTTGTGCATTTAAGAAAAGGTTCTCTGACATATTGTTGAATTTTTCCTTCTTTGTCATTTCTCCATGCCCCCTTAAATTCAAATAGTTTGACTCAAGCATTACTCCTGACTCTTACCTGTTACTGTTACATTGCTCCATGCTCTGTTCTTATTTTCCCCTTTGCTTCAAGAGTGATACCACTGGGCAAGGAGCAGATCATAAGTGGACACACCTTCCGCGGGTTTATGTCGCACTCTGAGTCGTACCCCTGTCCTTATCTGAATGCTGCCTCCGCTGTTGGCATCACGCGTGATGATGTGACACTGTGCATGAAAAGACTGGACAAGTGCCTGAAGAGTCTGAAGAAAGACCAAAATGCAGCGAGAAGCAGCTCCCCAGAACTGCATCAAAACCAGGAGGCCGCTGAAAAAGAATAACATCGCCGAAAATGTCAAGACAATGTTGCTTTGACCCTTTGTTTCCCCCCATGACTTTCTACCTGATTTAGAAGGGTTAAATGGGAATTCCTAAAGGATTATCAATCAAGACACTGCAACAATGTCAGCTGGCAACAAAACTAAGTACAGAAATTCAGAACTGATGCAAGTTCATGTTTACGGATAATTCTCTCCATTAAGGTGTGCCAGTAAGTTCATGTTATAAGGACATAGTGTCCCAAGAATGTATGTTAAGTAATGAGACCCAAATTCCTGTTTGTTGTCTCTTTAAGTAAAAAAAAAAAAAAAAAGACAAAGAATATTTACAGATGATCCTGTGTTTGCCTTTTTTTTTTAATTAAAGCTCTCAAACATCTCCAAATTGTTGGTGGGATTTCTTGAAGGTGTCTGGCTGATAGAGGGCGACGCTTAATGTTGCAGTAGGATCCGCTGGGGCTTCTGCAGCAGGTTGTAATATGATGCAAAAGTCAGTGAAGCATTAACTCCATTTGAGCCTTTTATATTGGATTAGAACATTTATTTTCAGGCTGTGTAACAGATTACAAGAAACACAATCAATTGTGTACAACAAACATAAATCACTGTGTGTATAGGGAATGGACTGTTCACTGTTTGCCTTTGTATCAAACAATAGTGTACTAAAAATCAACCCAATGTGTTTGAGATGAATTTAAGTTTCCTTCTGTGCTGACTGGAGCTTCAGTCACAATAGCCATGACCATGGACCTCTGCTCTCAATAAGTCACATTGACTCATTGAAAAACTGAGCAGGAAGAGCCCTGAGGCACTAAACTAAGTCTCACTTTGGGTACTCAAGAGTGTTGCTACTCACGATTTTGATACATTCCTGCACTGTTCCATGTCCTCCCACGCCCTTGCCCTCATCTTCTGTTTAACTTTGAAATGTGTGGATGATGGTGAAGCTGAGAGGGTGAAAGGATGGTCACATTTTCAGTATGAGATGTCAGCAAGAGATGTTTTTTCACCCGCACTACATATTGCGGCTCCCAAGAAAATGTGGAGCAGAGGCACCATCAAAACCAGTCCACCCTGCAGCCATGGACAGATGAGTGGACAGCACTGTGGTATCAGCACATTTTCACCGTTCACAAGCTGTACTGAACCACTAACAAAACCCAGTGGAAAAACACAGTGGGCCCTACCAGCACTGGTGTAATGCAGCACTTTACATTGGTGCTTTTAGAATAGACTGCTGTTTGTTGCACATCTGCAGAAACAGTTTGTAATTCAGACTAAACCTTAAATTAAAAACTTTTCCAGTGAAGCTTTTGGTTGGATAATGAAATTGAATATACTGTTGGCTGTATTTGTATTTGGCCTAAATGCAAACCACTCTCCAATCTAAAATTCCTCAGTGGCAAATGCGTTCTTGCGTGCTGGTTTTTTGGTTGGACAGCTTGTTTTCCACACGGTGACTGGAGGCAGCTGTGTGAGGCGCTGTCCATGGTGCTGCAGTTCTGCGCCTCCATAGGAGGCCAAAGGAAATCCATAGCATGCTCACTGGGGTACACGTTTGCTTTTGTTGCATTGTATGTGTTTCCACTTCTCAGTCGAACGAGGCGACTTTCACCATCATGAGTACACATCCTGGATGTCCCCACAGCGTAGAATAGAAACCGGGGGGAGGGGGGGCTGGCGGGCTGGCACGTGCATTGAACTGACAACTGACTTTATCTTTTATTTCTTTATTTCCACGTTGTCCACGCATAATAGTGTGAGATGATTATGGCAAATGCCATTTTTTTGGCCGTTTGTGGCCACGTGAGCGTCATTTTATTCTCTGCGGTAACAGCACCCTTCATAAATCAAACTCAACTTTAAATGATACAAACTGAGTGATTTTTTTTATTTTATTCATTTGATCTTTTTTAGATATGTGGAGCACGGGGGTTTCACCGACAGCTCTCCGGCTGGAGCCCTGACTTAATCAATAATGAAAGCGTACGGAGGGGAGCTGCAGCTGATTTGCTGATGTCAGGGAGCCAGTGCAGCATTTCATGGTGCAGGGTGTTAACGCACGGTGCCATCATCCGCCGTCGGTGCTCTCGACTGAAAAAATCCTCACACATGCAAGCCCGGCAAGAAAGATGCTGCCAGCTCTCAAGATTTGGGCATTGTTGTCTGTGTCGCTGTACCTGTTTCAACCAGGGCAAATGAAAAAGGCTTTTCGATGTCCTTCAACATGCAGCTGCTCCAAGGAGTCTATCATCTGCGTCGGGTCCTCCTACATCCCCAGGATTGCACCCACCGAAATCAGCTCTTTGTGAGTAGCTGCCCGTTAAAGAAGAGCCTGCAAATATATTTTAAGCAATGCGTGCACGTTATCGGCGCTCTGCAGAACTACGTGTTTATTTAGTTCGATTTTTGATTGTCTCACGTGGATTTTCTCAAGGAAATAAGAGTTGATGGCAGTGCAGTGTCAGGATTTCATTCTCTTTGCTTGAATGTCTCCGCCTGCTTCTTTCAGGAGTATCGTCAATGGGACTTTCACTGAGGTCAAAGAAGCAATGTTCTCTCACATGCCATCCCTCCAGCTGTTGTAAGAACACTGAAACTACACAAAGTTATTTTTAAACGATTTGCTGATTCACCTTACTTTGTGATAAAGGCTGAGACTAAATAGCTTAGCTTGCAGATTTTCAACAGAGCAAGCATTTACAAATTGCATCTTCATCTGGCTAACTTTCGGTTGTGCAAACACAAAGACAGCAAGGTGTCTTGGAAGCATGAAAGTGCATCCTTAAACTTATTAAGCCAGGCAGGCTTTTTAAAAGGGTTGGACACCTGGGAATGAATAATGGAAACACTGTCTTGAGCTTTCAGTGGGGCCCCTTAGAGTACTTACCAGAGGACATTAATCTTTGTAGTTCCTATGTCTAGTGACATGGTGAATGTCAGCATAAACAAAGGCGTGGCAGACAGAGATTTGATGCCAAGTCATTTACAGAGAATATATATATATATATATATATATATATAAAACACAAGATAATTGCATTTTCCTTGCCTTTCATCTTGGTATTAGAATATAATATCATATTAAACAAGTAAACTGTTTTTCTTTCACTTTGAGCATCTGGTTTTGTTTTAAATGTGGTTTTAAGAAAGCTTAGTATTTACAAAAAAATACCATATCTATGTCTTACAGGAGTAATCAATATCAAGTGTATTGATTCGGTTGCCATCCTTTATAAATGAGTCTACGTTTCATTGCAGGCTTTTGAATTCCAATTCTCTAACAACTGTAAGGGATGATGCATTTTCAGGCCTTGCACATCTGGAATACCTGTAAGTTGTTTTTATATCTATATACCACAGACTGAGGAATTATGGCTGTTCTATAATTTGTTTAATCATCATAGTGAAGAAGAAAAACATCCATGCCTTCATAACATACTTTGGTTTGGACTGGTAGTCCCCAAAAACCTTGATGTCTTCAGCTCTACTTGGAATGCATCTTTACTTAAAATGTTCACAATAAAACTTTGCGCTTAAGCAAAATGTGAAATTGAATTTTAGCTATCACTCAAAAGTTGCTGAAAAAAAAATGTTTAAAAAATCACAAATGGCAAGTAAATTAAAAGCATTTCTACAATTGACATGAACAGAGCTCATGCTATTTGGATGAAATAGTGTATGCAATTACAGTGCGGTATTCATGTTAACGTAATAGAACATCAAAGGTACGATGAGAAACTCTTAAAAAAAAAAAAGCATTTTCAATTCTCTACAATTGACAACTGCATCATTTGATTTTTTATCTTTTCATCCACAGGTTCATTGAGAGCAATAAGCTTCAGACTACATCTAAATATTCCTTCCGAGGTCTCAGGGACTTGACTCACTTGTATGTTCCACAAATGTTCAAAACTTGTCAAACACTGTGGCAATATTGTAGCATTTTATCATTTCATTAACTGTACTAATTCATTGTGGTTGTTTCCAGATCTTTGGCAAACAACAACATCAAAGCCTTGCCCAGGGACCTCTTTATTGACCTTGACTCATTGATCGAGCTGTGAGTTTTTCTCACAGTTGAGCGTTGGATTTTTCGTTTTCTCTTTTCTGCAACAGGGATTTACTGTGTGCCCTACAATATTTTCTACCTCTTCTACTTTGTTTTCTTCAAGTAGTTTGCCTGTCTCTTTTCGCAATGACATACCATCGTCCTTTTCTGCAGTGACTTGCGAGGCAATGCCTTTGAGTGTGACTGCAGAGCCAAATGGCTCATGACTTGGTTGAAGAACACCAATGCTACAGTGTCGGATGTCGTGTGTGCTGGACCAGAGGACATGAAGGACAAGCGCCTCAATGATATGAACAGCCTGCACAATGAGTGCCTCTCAACAGGTGACAAAAACCCAAGCCGGCTGGACCCGTTTCAAATTTAACAGGCATCTGCATCAGGCAGCTCACCTTGGTCATTTTCAAAAATCTTATGAGATTGAAAATGATTAAACTAATCGTGTACTGTTTTTTTTTTTTTAATTGCAGATTTTGTCCTTCATCAGTCTTTGGCAGCTGAGTCTTTATCCGTTGACACCTTCAGCTATAAGAATGACGTCTATGTGACCATTGCTGCTCCCAGTGCAGAAAGCTGCATGGTTTTCCAATGGGACCATATTGAAATGAACTTCAGGACTTATGATAATATCACCGGTAAGGCAAGAAATTCACAATCTGTTTTGAGATGTTCAAGTTATGTTTCACCCTCATATGACTAAATGTGTTCTCCTGCCTCTCAGGTCAATCCATTGTAGGCTGCAAGTCAGTTGTCATCCAAGATGAAGTGTTTGTCATTGTGGCTCAACTCTTTGGTGGGTCCCGCATTTACAAGTTTGATGACGACCAAAGCAGGTTCAATAAGTTCCAGGACATTGAAGTGTCCAAAATCTCCAAGCCCAATGACATCGAGGCCTTCCAGATTGGCTCTGACTGGTTCTTTGTGGTTGCTGATAGCTCAAAAGCTGGCCTGTCTACCCTCTACAAGTGGAACGATAATGGCTTTTATTCATACCAGTCCCTGCACGAGTGGTACCGCGACACAGATGCAGAGTTCTTAAACTTGGATGGAAAAGCCCATCTTATTTTGGCCAGCCGCTCACAGGTTCCTGTGATTTACCAGTGGAATAGGAGTAACCAGAAGTTTATCCTGCAAGGTGAGATCCCCAACATGGAGGACGTCGTAGCTGTGAAACACTTCAGGATCAAGGAGGAGCTCTACTTGTCTATGACACGCTACATTGGCGACTCCAAAATTCTGCGATGGGGTCCCAAACAGTTTGCTGAGATCCAGGCTTTGCCCTCACGAGGCTCTATGATTCTCCAGCCCTTCTCTTTCAAGGAACGATACTACCTGGCTCTAGGAAGCGACTACACCTTCTCTCAAATCTACCTATGGGATGATGAAAAGAAACTCTTCGACCGCTTCAAGGAAGTGTACATCCAAGCGCCGCGCTCCTTCACTGTGGTTTCCACTGACCGCAGAGACTTCATATTTTCATCAAGCTTTAAAGGAAACACACAGATTTTTGAACACATTATCCTTGACCTGAGCTTGTGAGGGGCTGTGCCTTATTGTCCCTCCTGCAGTCAAATGTCTTCCTCTAAAAAATATATGTATGAAAAGGGACAAAAAGGAAAGAACATCATGAACTGTTAAATATATGACACAGGAGGGTCAAAATTTATTGAAAGCATCAACCTTTTCTCTGTTAATATATTTATAATGGTGATATTTACATGACATTTTCACAAGATGGTGGTAAAGCCTTTAAGTACTCCACACATGCAAAAAAATCAAAACAAATTAATTGATCTATTAAGGCATGTATAAGGAAGTGAGAGGACACAGGGAATAAACAAAGGTTTTTTGTACAAATCACATATATTATATTCAATTGGTTTTGGTAGCTTTATTTTATTTCCCTCTTTTATTTTGCAAGTTTCTTCGGCTGTATGTCTGGGGTAATATCCCTCTGAAATGTCCATCTTAGTACAGCCTTCAGCACCTTCCAGGTAGATGGAAATCGATTCTTATCAAAAATGTGTGCCCATTTCTCTATTCATCCTTAAAAATTATTTTACCATATGCTGAAAACAGCTCTATAGCATAATCATCATGTGAAGTGCAACTTTCTTACTATGAAATAGGCTTGTTCAAATGTTGTGCAGCAAAGTTAAATCAAGATTTAGCAGGCGTTTTCTTCAGAAGTGGAAATTTAGCTGTTAAGCAAATTATCTGTTATGTTCTTTGTAAAAGACTGCACCTGCTGATTCCTAAGATCATTGGCTTTTGGGACACTTTTTAAAGTATTCTTTTGAATCTTCTGTCAGAAATCTTGCAAGTATCTCAGAAATATTCCGGCTGTATAAATATGTATGCAACAAACTAGTTACAAAGTTTTTGAGTAAGCTCTTTGCTTTTGCCCCTCCTACGTTGCTTCTTCTGAGATGCTTTGGCAATGAGAAACCTTATAGACCATTAGCAAGGATTTATTTTCAAATTCTGACCCTTTTTACCTGTTTTCAAAAAAATATTTTAAATATTTCTCTTCATGCTTTTAATTGCTTGTAATTTCACATTCTCACATAAATTCTCAAAGGATTTATTTATTCTGATGCCTTTGTATGTTTGGAGTACTTGGGTTGTTACTGAAGTCAGGTGAAAATGCCATGTCAACAGCCCAATTATAAATATATTCACAAAAGAAATGTTGTGTGCTTTTAATACTTATTTACCCTGATGAAGTTTGGATACGAATTGGAGAAGGGTACATTTTGTCCTGATTATTTCTTAATGGCCTTGTCCTATTAGCTACTGTCGTGGGTACTTAGACTTTAAGACTATTTCACAAAGACAAGAAGCATTTTATAGAACGGTCCAGCTGATATGAATGGTAGGACAAAAACAACATTTGATTTGGTTAGACCAATGGTTTTCTGTTAAATATCACAATTTTTAACCCCATACTTAGATCACCAGTACATTAGAGAATATGTAGTTTTACTCGGATTTAGGCCATTTTGTGCCCTCTGACCCTGTGTTAAATAATGTACAGCATGTTAACCTGTCAGAACAAGGGTTTTGTGTTCTGATGGACTTACAGTGCCTCCCTCTGGCCGTGGTGAAGAATCGCACCCCTATTTCCAAACAGGGAATGTCTTGAAAGCACAAACCTTTAATTAGCATAGGGCGGATGGTTCGGTGTACAGGTGCATCAGGGCAAATTTAACTGTAGGTGCTACAGGCTGTATTACATACAGTAGTTTCAAAAGTGTTTGTTTTTGTAGGGAGTGAGATATTCAGGAAGTGATGTGGCTGATGTAGTCTCAAACAAACTCACTTAAATATAGTTCCCATTTTGATACAGCTTTTAGATCAAAGTTTCAACAAGCGAAAGTAGAATTTTTTGTTAATCAGGGAAACTACTTTCTTTTGCCCCTGATTTAGTAGTTTGAAATATGAACAAATTGTTTTTATTTTATTTCATTGATTACAACAGATTCAGACGCCTCGTCCAGAGACTGAATGTGATTGAGAGCAGGCATAGAGACATGAAAATAAGAGGCCTCTACAGTAAGTCATTCTGAATGTTGAAAACAATAACATGTACATAAATTCAAGGTGCAATGCCACTAACTGCTCTGAACAGATCTTTGCACTTACATAGAAAACTCAAATGTTACTGCAGCTTGCATAAGCATGACATTAAAAAAAGGTCATTGTAAACTTTATTTTTAGAGAAACTCAATAAAGTGTTCAAGTGCTTTTATTAAGTGAATGAAATTGCAAATTAAATTAAAAAAAAGGAAATATGCAAGCTTGACAGTTTTTTTATATGATTTAGTTGTAAACATGGTGAATGTTACCCTTAAATCTGCTGTACGTTTCAACAGCCGACTAACAAAATAAATGTGTTAAGATATTATTGTAAGTTGTGTTTGATCTTTTACTGAATAACAATGGTTGTAAATATCAGTTTATTTTCATGTCAGGAATAATCTGTCTTCAGAATAAAGCTCAAAATATGAATAACTACGCTTTCACAAAACCAGACATTAAGATTTCCAGTATGCTTTGACCACTGATTGTATTCATTCAGTCATCAACGTTTAAAACTGTTTAAACCACAAATGACAGGCTCAAGAAATTTGTCAAGAGAAAAGAAGAAAAAATACAAAGGCTTGAGGGTACGAACTAAATTCAACATAATGATTGTAAGTGAAGACACTGAATGTGCTGAAAGATGATGGGGTGGAAGTTATAATTATGAAGCTGGATTAGTGTGTCATTTTTGTGGCTTGTCATCTGCAGACAACTTGGAGAGAACACGCAACCACCAAAAATTAAAAGTGATGCACAACATTAAAAAAATATTTTTGGGTAAAAAAAGCTAAACATTAAAAACTGGTCGTTTATTTGTAACCCTTTCTTTTTATCCTGGGATTGTTTCCTGGCTTCTTCGGATGTTTCCTCAAGTTGACCAGGGCCCATGGGCTGAATGAAGACGTCCCTGAAAAGATCTTCAGCAAAGCATTTTTGATGCCATCCAGAGAATCAAGTGTCTCAGTTCAAGAAGCTTAAGTCAGTGAAGTTGAGTTCATTCCCATGATCAACTTTGTTGCTCTATGTGGTTAAGAAACGTTCCCTCCCCCTGGCAGTCAGAACTGAGGGCACAGCCAGGATTGTGGGATATTGCGTGGGATCGCAATAGGACAGAAACACTGCCATGTTACCTTGGGGGCTCCCTGCCTTTGCTCCAAGGGTATTTCGTTTTAAACCACAGCATTGCAAGCCTCACTTGGTCAATTTGATTTTTAATCGTCTTTGCTCGTCCCTCTCTACGTTTTGGGGGGTTTGTTCCGGTGGATCTGGCAACACGGCCGATGTAAAGTGGGAGGAGCAGGAAGAAAACGACAGATAACGACGGACGGAATAGATAAGCAGTGTGACACATTTTAGCCGGAAATGACAGCAGAAGACGTCCCATATCGTCCCTGTAAGTTACTCTTTCAGCATGAGCCATAGCCTTGAATGCGTATTACCTAATAAAAAACTAACCAAGAACCCATTTGTGTGATTCTTGGGAGTCAAAACACACAGTGGTAAAGCTCATTTGACGGTTGGGGAAAGCTGGTGCGGGCTTTGGGCGTTGCTGCCTTTCAAACATCATTTAGAATTTCACATTTTCCCTCTAGTTTTTAGGATTTGTGACAGGGCCTGACACCAGCATGCTAACAAACGTTAGCTGAGCCAGTCTGCTCTGACACTTGGACGCTTTACATTGTACATTCACAGGACTTTCCCCCCAACATTTCCGGATCTACCTAGAGACCCAACAGAAAGGCTTACGTCTGCCAGATGCTAGATCCAGCTGTTTCTGCCGTCTACGTATGACATTTGTAATCTAGAGAGAGAAAGAAACCACCAGCAGCCTGAGGTGATTTGATCCAATTCCTTTTTACTCCATCTTTTAAAATGTCCTAAACTCTTTTTAAGAAACCTGGAGGAATATTTTGAAGACAACTTAAAGCACCACAAGAGACCTCGTCTCGTCTGGGAGGTCAGACTTGCTGAAGAATAAACGTTTTCTTACAGAAATTGATGGTAAGGATAATGTAATTCAATTCACTGAAAACATTGCAAAATAGCTTTTTCAAATCGGCCAACAGAAGGTCTTGGGGTTTGAAGGGGTGCTGGATTCCATGACAATAACTGAATGACTGTGTCTCCTCACAGGCTGTCTGAAGTAAGAAAATGAGCATCATCACACAGTTTAAAGTGACTTTTCCCCAGCCACCAGAAACGCATCCGGTAATACAGTGTATAATCGAAAGCAACCTGAAGAAACTCAAGAAGCTGCTGAGAGACAACAATATTAATGGGCTTTATGCCAGCAAGGAATGCTGTGACTACGTGACTCCGCTGATCGCCGCTGTTGTGAATCACAACAGTGACATTTTCGCCTATCTTCTTCACCAAGGAGGGGATACCAACTTATCTTCCCAAAAAGGACTGACAGCTCTGCATTATGTGTCAATATCCAAAGCGCCACATAGCTTTGTGAAGGAGCTGCTTGCCACGGGAGCCGATCCGAACGGCTGGAACATGATGACACCGCTGCTGCTCGCTGCCTCTCATGACAGAGAAGACGTCGTCAAAGTGCTTCTCTCTGCTGGTGCTCAGGCAACTTTGCTACCTGTAGCTGATGCTCAGCATCTTGTTGCCGTGAAAAAATTAGCTCATGTCATCGATAACTTGGCATCTAAAGGAGATGAACTCTGCTCCAAAATCTTTCGTATTTTGGAATTTGAAATTGCCGTGCAGGAGAAATCACCTGAGGAGGTGCTCAGGAGGTTTCACAGTCACATGCTACTGGAGGATCCGCAGAGCCATTTAACTGTGATCGAAGTACTGTTCACAATTACTGGGAAAGGGAAAGAAAAGTACTGCCAAGGATGCATTAGATGGCTGAAAGAAAACGGAAATTTAAACTCCTATATTGAGGGAACAGCAAGTCGTTTTACAAACATCCAAAAGGTACGTGTAAAGATAGTTGTTGATAGTTTGCATGCCACCTTCTGCACAATGGATGATATACCAAATGAGCAAGCACTGGCTATTGTTCCCCATCTCCTGGATCAGCTCTGTTTAAAAGAAAGACCAGATGTTTGGGAAGCTGTTCTACAAACTTTATATGTGATTACACAAAAAACAAAGGGCACTCTTGGCTGGGATAAAACCTTTATGGAGAAGTTGTGCAGAGCAGTTGCTCCCTTTGTTCATGAGCGTCACTCCTCTAACACCCGGGTCTACTCATATGGCGTATTTGCGAACTTGCTTGCTGGGGAACATTCAGCCAGCATTTTCCGATCAGTGGGGATAACTTTAGTGCCTGAAGAAATATTGATATCTGCAGATATGACGACCAATGACAAGCTAAAAGAAGTGCTCAGGCATCTGAAAAGTCATGTCAGCAAGCCCTGGTCTGAATGGGATGGGAGTGAAGCCTCACCTGAACCTAAGAAGAAGAAAAAGAAGAAGAAAAAGAAAAAAAAAAGAGAGGAGAATTGTGAAGATGCAAATGACGAACTTGACAATGCTGCAGTTGATGCAATGGCATCTGTGTCTTTGGAGGAATCGAGTGGACAATGTTCAGCCTTCAACGCCATCGATTCATCAGGGACAAGGAGATGGCTGCAAATCAGTCAGAGGTGGAATGAAAAACTATCGAAACTTGTCAGCACTGATGAAAGTAAAGTAACCAGAATCAGCAGCATCATTTATGTGAATGATGCAGAATTCCGCATAGCAAAAGGAAGTGATGGTACTGAAGTCTTCTTGGGGCTGAGGGACGACGGCACAGAGGTTGCTCTTAAGAGGATGTCTAAAAGTAACTATCAAGTGCTGAAGAATGAGGAAGGAATTCTGCGACTGCCAGAGCTTGACCATCCGTCTATTGTACGGTACATTGATGCCGCAGAGGACCGAAACTTTGGATATCTTGGTCTCCAGCTTTGTGAATACACCTTGGAAGAATACATTTCAGATGGTGATGGCATTGAGCTGATGAAACAAAAACTTGTGTGCGAGTTTCTTGAAAGTTTAAGGGTTCTACACGGTCAAAATCCTCAGATTCTCCACCGAGATCTCAAACCACAGAATGTCTTAATTGGTAAGAAAATTAGGAAATGTGTCCTTTTACAAAGTGATATTAATTTGGTGTCTGTGGAGTTATGAATATAACATTGATGTGAAAGAGATGGAAAAGACACCTTAAGTGTAACATTAAAACAAAAAATGTAAAAAGAAATTAACATCAATACTTGGTGTCCGCTTTTTTCTATAGTACTATTTTGTAAGTCATTTTTTCATATGCTTTCCCACAGATGTCAAAGGGAGGGCAAGATTAGCTGATTTTGGCATAAGCAGACGTTTACTCAAAGATCAGACGACTCTGCGAACATCCAGCGCAGGCACTAAGTGCTGGATGGCAACAGAGACTTTAGCAGAGGAATCTGACATACCGTACAAATCAAACACTGATGTGCAGGTGAGCGTTTCAGCTTTATAAACATGTTGGGTGTTATAAACCCATAGACTCATAAACTCTCATGTTTAAAATTAAGGTGGCAGGGATGTTGATCTACTATATCCTCTCTGGGGGACACCATCCATTCGGCAAATCTTTTGAATGTGAGTTCAACATTTATCATGGGAATTATCGTTTGGATCATGTGGAAGACCTGGTGGCAAAAGACCTCATTGAGCAGATGATTGTTGGAGATCCGAGGAACAGACCAAAAGTGGAAGGATGCCTGAGTCATCCCTTCTTCTGGCCTTGTGCAAAGTAAGAAAACCTCTGATTGATTGCTTTACCTACTAGTGCCGTATACAAACATACTAAACGTAAAAGTTGTTCTCTTTCAGTTCTAAAGCTTAATTGTTTTCGACTCTTAAAACAGTTACGGAGTTGCAGCTTTTGGATTTGGCTGAGGCATACCATGACTATTACTTTTTTCATTTCAGGAAAGTTGAATACTTGAGAAAAATTGGTAACCATGAGGAGGCAGCAAACTGTCGAAAGGCTGACCACGACGTGACTGAGGACCTTGAAAGATGTGTTGGTGGATCCTTCAAGCAGTGGAAAAGCAAGGTGACTGCGGCATGAGAGCTGTAACATCTGCATACGGGAATTTGTTTCCTTAACAAATTGACCTTTGTCTGTTGAATTTCTCTACACAGTTTCCTCTGGACCTTGTTCAGAAAATGGACGGAAAAAACAAAGCCTACCCTGAGAACACACTTGGACTTCTGCGCTTTATACGCAATCTCCATGAGCATTAGTGAGTTACATTGAATCAAAATGTATACAAAAATCAAAACCTCATACACACTGAAGAGATTGTTTGATTTCTTCTTTTAAGCAGAAATGAGTGAATCTCTCTTTTTGCCCATTGTTAGGGGTTCCTCCTGCAATACCTCGGTGATCACTGAATCACCAAACATTTTATTTAGAATTTAAATATAAACTTTTGAGGACTTTAATTTGACATATTTGATATTTGAATCATTTCAATGATTCTATGACATAAATATTTAGATCTGATGATTGATTATCAGATGGTCTCATTTTCAGTCTGGGAGACTGAATTCTTTCAAAAACCTATTTTGGCAAAGACATCAAAATCTACTTGAATCTCTAAACATTGGGTTGTATTTTGCTCCTGATTAATTACAGATCCTTTCTATTTTGTCACTCTTGTCTGTAGTGCTAAGGATGCGGCACAAATTGATGTCCTGGGATTATTTCCTGATCTCTTTGGTTGTATTCACAAGTTTGCCAAGAGCCAAGGGTGGAATGAGGAGACACCCCTGAAGGAAATGTTTCAAAGAGAAGACATCAGCACTATATTTGTGATGCCATCCACAAGCATTGTGAAGCAGCAGACTCTCCCTGTTCAAGAGTCCCAAGTTGGTGACGAGAATGAAGTTGAATTTGAAAAGGAATTTTGAGGAACATTTCAAACAAGGTTGATTTTTCCATTTTGACATAATTACAGAACACATAACAATGGTTTTGTGCATGCAAGCATTTGCATATGCTGGAACTAAAGTGGCTTAATGAGGTTAATGTTGACATCGATTGCCAAATCTTTACTACTTTCTGCCCGCCTGTGTCTTACAACCTGCCATTATTTGCTGTGTTGTCATCGTTTTCTTTTTTCTACCAGCACAATTGGTTATTTTTATTGGACTTTTAAGAACTGTTCTGTAAAGTAGATGTTGTATTTTCATTGCAATTTCCACACTGTATCTCTGTTATGATAAATAAATCAAGCTCACATGTACAGATTAAGAAATCAGTCTGTGTTTGAGATGGAGAGGTTTGCTTTGTTGGTTTAACTGTCACCCAAGCTGCCTTTATATCAAAGCTATTCATTAATCGTTATTAATGAATGTGGAACTGTTCAACCAAAGACTTTTATTTTCACCCTGGAACCGGAAGTAGTTTCACTACGTGGCACAGTGGCTAAAAAGTGACGTCGCAGTCTAAACAAACGGAGGAGGCGCGGCCGCCGTGCAGAGCCCGTGTCCTTACATCTCTCCGGTATTATTTTTATTTTTATTTTTTATTTTTTACAGTTATGCAGTCTTCCAAGAGGAGTGAGAATGACTGGCAGGGACTTGTCAGCGAGGTAAGTGAAAAGACGAAGACCGCGAAGCGTTGGTGTCGCGGACGCTTGTAACGAATGTTCCGCCGGTTTTCTGTCCGTTTGGAAAGAGAGTCGGCGCTCTGGCTTCAGACGGAGGAACTGCTGGATGGCACACTGATCTCAGCCACCTCAGCCATCACCTGGTGTCAGGAGTGTTTGGTTTAGCACGTATATTCACTTAGACCGACAACGTGTACAACGCTCTAGTATTGTAGGGCTTCTGTTGATAGAAGACACCTGTGGGCCCGTAATTACTAGTTTTTGGAACACACTCCTATAACCCCTTTTTGAGTTACCCTTTTCAGCGGCTGCAAATCCAAATGAATATTTTTTTAATTGAAAAGCTTATGTAACTATTATTAGATTCCTCAAATGCCACATAAGCAGCCATTTGTACGACTAAGCTTTGCAGTGGCACAAAGAGACCAGGAAAGTCATTAAAGAGAAATTAATCAATGAAAAATAAACACTAGAAATACCATGGGGATAGCATTGTGGAATTTCAGCACCTGCAAACTTCCTTTCTCTTGCAAATTTAGCTCCAGCTGCTTCTTGATTTGGCTATGAGATGATATCAAGGCTTTTACGTTCTTTCTGGTGTGCATTTGTGCACCTGTAAAGAAGGGCCCCAGGGTTGGTAACATTTGTACTTTGAACTAATCTGACCAGATCCAGGATAAGCTTGACCAAGTCCAATGGATTTCTTCTCCCTTTACTTTAGTTTCTGGTGTGTAAACGCAAGCTGGAGAGTAAGAAAGAGGCCCTGCTTATCTTGTCCAAAGAGCTGGATACCTGTCAGCAGGAGAGAGACCAGTACAAGCTGATGGCCAACCAGCTGCGAGAGCGCCACCAGGGGCTCAAAAAGAAGTACAGGGAACTCATTGTAAGTGGTTTAAACCCTCAGGAGTCACTCTGTCTTAAATAAAGAAGGTGATATCACAAATATCCCCCCAAAAATGACAACTACAATTTTTTGAGTAGTTGATGCCTGCTGTTTTGATGTTGAAATTATTATTGTTTATGTCACTGTTTTAGGATGGTGATCCCTCTTTACCACCAGAAAAACGCAATCAAGTAAGTAACGTTTTTTAATATCCATCCTACCAATAAGTGACCCACTGGGTTGAATAAAATGCTGCCTTCATGGTGTTATTGGAGCGATGTGACCTTTGCTTATTTTGTTTACTAAAATAGGTGAGAGCATGGGTATGGGTATGAAGCCTGGGTGTTGCAAACAGGGATGAGAAAATGTTACAGTGATAAGCAGCACCAAAAAAACAGATTATAGGCTTTTAAGGACAATATGACAAACACAAATTAATCGTTGGCGGCTGGGTAGCAATTGGAGAACAAATCAGTTTTTAATAGAGCTGATGGACAAAGAAATGGAGTCCTGTCTGAATTAGATTTTCATGGTAATTTTTTTTAAATCTGTTCTGTGACAAATCAGTTTGCCTTTCATTCATCTGCTGCACTTCTCTCATTCAGGTGAACCTGGCTCAGCTGCTGAGGGACTCGAGGGAACGAGCAAAACAGCTCACTGAGGAGGTGAAAGACCTCTCACAGAGGCTTACAGAGGCTCAGGGAGATAACAAGGTGTTGTTATACACAGTTATAGAGCCTTCATATAATGGATGAGTTTGGACTCTGAATCTAGCCCATGAGAGCATGTGTATCTTTTCCGCAGCTGCTCAGGATGACCATTACCCGACAGAGGCTGGGGGACGAAGAGGTGGGGGTGCGCCACTTTCCTGCTCATGAGCGAGAGGATTTGGTTTGTCAGTTGGAGAGAGCGGGTCTGCAGGTTAACACATTTTTTAATTGAACACTTTCCCTGTGTGTTGAGCAGACGGTGATAATGAATCCTCAGTCTAAGCCATGTCAACTCTAACACAAGTATTCTTACAGAAATATTCAGATCTGCTTTTAGTGAAATTGATGGCTCAAATAGTTAAACATTGTATCATCTGTGACGCATTCATTGACAAAGTATGGCTGAGCAAATCCATTGTTTGATTAGATTGCTGATAGTTTTTTCACTTTTGCTGTTGTGTTTCAGAAACTAATAGTTGTACTTGTAATCATAAAGTTAAACATGAAAATAATTGTTTTCACCACTTCTTAAGAAGAATCCTCACAATCTCCATATCTTGCCATGTGCAAAATCCCTTCCTGTTACCAACTGGTTGAAAGAACCTTGTATGAAGACCATTTCACACTTAGCTGGTAGGCCGTGAGAGAATATCTGCTGATAAAGCGTGTCTCGAATTCAAATGTTTCACTCCCTCTGAGTTGAAAACAACAGATAGCGTTTCCCATCGTCAGTAGCTCAGTGCATGCTCAACCAATTGTATGCTCAGGACCAAAGCGTTTAAATATGTGTCATTGGACTCCATCATAGTTTTGCCTTCCAAATATTTAGATTTTGTCTGGGCACCTTTTTGTAGATGGAAGAGATGGAGCACACCATCAAGGCACTGGCAGATGAGCTGCAGGACGTGAAGGCAGAACGCAACGTGTTCTGGGAGAAGGCCGACAGACTAAACGTTGAAATCAATCACATTTTAGGGAATAATGAGACGCGCATCATTGATGTCGATGCCCTCTGCATGGAAAACAGGTAACTGTTTATATTGAGCTCAAGGAATCCCAGTTTTTTGGTTGAATTTGCTCTCACATCTAAATAATAGCTTCTAGGGAAAGCATGGATCTCACTCCTGTGACATTTGCAGGAAATCATCTTTGATTAGCAGTTATAAAGTACCAGTCAGATATTTGAGCACAACTACTCAGTAGAAGGCTTTCTATTGTTGTTTTTACCTTGTAGAATAGTTAGTAAAACTATCATGTAATGTTGCATTTTCAACATTTTCATTGAAAATGCAAAAATAATTCAAACAAACCTCTTACCTTGAGAGATTTTAAGTGTTTGGCTTTTGCTTTTATTACATTTGTGCAAAATCTTTGAATTCTTCCTACCAGCATGTGAAACTATTTTTTCCGCCTCATGGTCTTGTTGTAAAAAAAGTGCCTCTGATGGTACAGCCAAGTCAATTATTCCTGCTTGCAAAATGTCCCCCTGAATTCTGAATAAGTGTTTAACGCTTTCACCACACTCACCGCACTCACACCACAGCACCACTTCCTTGGTGCTTCAAAGTGGAGTAGATCCACACATGCAAACCACTATTTAAAATGGTATCTTTTTCTCAGAGGTATGTAGATAATTTGTAGTTGTTGTACATTAGTGTAAGTTTTGTATTTTTGCATTGACTGACAAATTCATGTATTAGTTCTGCCATTCTGATCTTGTTTGAGCAGCTTTTCGTCATGTCAGTTTCAGGTCATACATATTTTCAACTTCAGCTTGAAACACACGTTTGGAATTTGCTAGCTGTCCTTTGTGCTCCCTCTGATTGTATTTTTAATCATTTTTACCGGTGTTAGGTATTTGCATGACCGTTACAGCCAACTGCAGGAGGAGGTGAACTTGCTGAAGTCCAACATTATGAAATACAAGGTAAAGATTGAAATCCAGCAACTTCATTTCAGAGCATTCACCGGGATGGGCTTTATTCTCTTGTTTTCCTTCTCAACAGACAGCCCTTGAGAGGAGGAAGAACTCCAGCACATATGGGAAATCAAATAACAGTCCCCTTACTGGAGTGTTATCAGCTAAACAAGGTAAAAAACACAAACTGTTGAGCTCACCCTGAGTCATCAAACAGATTACAGTGCACTTCATTTGGAAACTGTAGAAAACCAGTCTAAAAAAGTTTTATTTCCCTATATAAACCATTTCTTATCAGAGAAATGCCTCAAACTTTTCAGTGAAATGAGGCGCAGTCTTGGTTTCTTTCTCTTTTTTTCTCCCTTTCTTTTTTTGCCAATCCAAACCTCCACCCGGACACCAGCCGGGTTTTTTAATTGTATTCTGAGTGGTAGAGCAGGGAAATGAGCCTGCCATGATGACTGGCAGCTGCTGGAAGAAGCAGCACAGTGGGTTCTGGAGTTGAAGTTAGGAAAGTGTCACAGAGTAGACAGCTGTTTCTAACACTCCATCTCTGTCTTGTTCTTGTCCTGCTGTTTTCCCCTCCTGCTCTTTTTCTGTCTCCCGGTTCTATTTATAACCTGTTTTGAAAGTTTCATTAGTACATTAATGCCAGTTTGAGGCTCAGTCCCAAAGCATTCTACTTTGTCTTTTCCTTTAATCGTTTCCAACCCTACACACACACACACACCTTTACCTCCTCCTTTCCTTTAAGTCCAAGAGATGCTCCTTGAGGAGCAGGGCTGCAGCTTGCCTGCCACTCCTCAATCCATCTCTGACCTCAAGTCCTTGGCCACTGCCCTGCTGGAGACCATCCATGAGAAGAATCTTGTCATCCAGCACCAGAGGCACACCAACAGGTAATAACAGGGCATGGTAATGATGATGATAGAGGAGCCCTTCTCTTTTCTTTGAAAACCACAAAAACCTGTTCAGAATCTGTATCTTTTGACCACTACCATCTTCATGTTTGTCTTTGAAATCTCCTCCTCAAAAGCAAACACTGTGCTGTGGAATACAAATGCAGGCATAGGGACATAAGTATGACGAAACCTGACCCATTTTATCTTGTCTGCAGGATTCTGGGAAACAGGGTTGCAGATTTGGAAAGAAAGCTTAAGACCTTGGAAGTCTCGGGATTATGGAGTCTACCTGGTGGGTGTATAAAGCAAAACAAACAACCAGAAAAAAGTGTACCACATTTCTCCACTTACTTGGGTCCTAAAAGGATTTGACCGTAACCTTACAGTTGTTCAGACAGGATATAAAGCTGTTTCTCATAACTAACCAGGAACAGTAGTTGGGTCTGTGTGTCTGTTGTCAATGTGACTAGCATTTATTTACACAGCTGTTGAAGGAGTTGCTAAGCATGTGTAATCTCTAACACGCCATAAGTAAACAGGAATGTGTGACTGTATGTGTCATGTGCATGTTTATCCAATGTAGACTTTACCACTGGACCTCACTAGAATCTATATTAACAAACCCACATTGCCTTTTTTTCACCAAGAAGATGGAAGGAGACTTATTCTAGGAGATGAGTTAGAATGAATGTTTGCTTACATTAAGGATGGAATATTGGTTTGATTTGTAATGATTACAAGTTCATTAAGTTTCCAGATCTATCTGTGGTCAAAGCTCTGAGATGCATTCCAACTGCTCTGCTTTGTCCACCAGTTTTTTAATCAACTGCTTAATAGCTGTCCATGCCCTGTGCCTTATTGAGATGTGGCCTACAAATTCAAGCTACCAGGCAAATGTAATTTTTTTGACAGAAATGACACTCAGTATCCCTTGAAGCATCTTATAATGCGCAAAAGAGAATATTTTACCAAGTCTGACAGCTCACAGTGGGACACTCCGGGCTGGAGGGTGAAAGGCCTGATGGGCAGTCTTATTCTAAATACATCTTCAGTTTGACCACGGGGAGCTGGTTCTGCTCCCGTTTTGAATCACAATCAGGCCACAAAACAGGAGTCAAACCATCACAGGTGGAAAAAACACCATCTCTGATGGGAAAGCTTAAGCAAGATAACAGTCAGCTGGCTCACTAATACAGCTGTCAAAATTATTTTTGTATGCGTGTGAAAACAGCTGTTATGTAACGGACAAAGTGTCAAACGAACTTCCCCTCGTTGCTCATGCTGCGTCCTTACAGGTGAACAGTTTGTCTGTGTTTATTGGAAGTTCATTTCCATGATAATATTTCTGTAAGTGTTTAAATTTGAAACGAGTTTGAAATGATTTTCCCTCCTCCTGTTTTTATTAATCATTATGGATTAATGAGATTTTGTATTCATAACAGTGTGTCTCTTTCTCCTCCCTGGCTGCATCTCAGGCTTGACCTACCACGTATCGGTGGGAATTGGGAGTATGTATTCCTTCTGCCCCACTTAGCTCAGCCATGCCCTCCACTGTGTCATGCCAGGACAAATCTGGGCAGATGCCCAGAAAACATGCCACCTCATGCCCACCTTTTTACAATGTGTTGACTCTATTGACCACCAGCTCATGTGTCTGTTCATGATACCATTGACTGACTCATTCTGCCTGAGGCGCTCAGTGATTTGAGGACTGCTTGAGGAATTCTGTGTTATAATATTTAGTATATATTATCGAAAATTGATAGGATTTTCATTTTCTAACAGTCGTGGTGACACCAAAGGGATATTTTAAAATAAATTGAGTTAAAATGACAACATGAGGAAAATGTATGAATAATTACAATATGTGCAGAACGTCTCAACAAAAAGCACTAAAAGCACATTAACCTTTTTCCATTTTCTTTTTTGCTTGCTTATACACGAAGCTAAACTTTTTCTTTTGGAAAAAACCTTCCTGGTAGCTGTCATCTTGTATGATGAGACACAGCTGCAAACCGTTCCCCTTCAGTGCGCAAGAAAACAAATGCAAAACACAAGCAACCTACCAAATGGAATCAAAGTAGCATCCCAAATTAAATTGGCAGTCTGATAACAGGAGACAAAGCATTTTCCAATAATCCCCCCTTCTCTCCACTGGAGGGAGATGTTGTGCCATCCATGAGCAGCAGTGGTTTTAGGGGCCGTGGCTGAATGGAGGTGCCCTGTCATGAGACCGTCATTCTCTCCGCCATAAAACTGACAAGCATCCATTACTGAAAATGATTGCCCACATTACAAACACATTTAGGGGAATGTGCCGTTATTAGGGAATTTGTAGGCGAGGGACCAGAGTGCCTGACGACCGCACTGTCCACCACAGTTAGGGAGACAGAGGCATAGAGAGAGAGAGACGCGAATGTCTGTGGCCTTGATGAGATAGGAAGTTGGGCTGATGTATATTAAAGGCAAACAGCATAGGATGGAGGGCCTTGGCTGCATACTTGAAGCCCAGAAAGAAGTAAAGGTGACTGCATTGTCTACGGATGAGAGAGAGCCAAACACACTAACAATGCCATTGATGCAGTGAGTCAGATAAAGTTAAGATTGATAGATCTCTCAGTTCACCTCCATGATGTGTGAGAGCGAGCCGAAATGCAACATTGAAAGTGAAGGCCTGTCGGTGTGCATCACCATTTTGAAAGACAATGGTGAATACAGACTGCACCGTTGCACCGCTGTTTTACTGTAGTTGCCAGACTCTTTCCAGTTAAGAGGAAGATATTTTTTTCACTAGTGCTAGACAGCTTTGCATCCCTATGTCGATCTGTTACTAAAAGAAAGATTGACAGATTTGTACATTGTTCTTCCTTTTGTCTCAATGTAAGTGTGTGAGTGTATGCAGTCTGTAGTTGGTTGGCCGTTCAGGCTAATGCCTTTAAGGGGCATCCTGCCTCCTCCTGGGTGCTTGCTGCCTCTGAGAGGCACAACTGCTGTGCTCACTCAAAGCCTCGCTCTGTATGTGTAATAATGAGGCCTGCTTTATTAATAATGACTTAGAGGGTCAGCATAAACTCTTTTGAAGGCCCTCTCTAAAATTGTTGCTGCTGCAAGTCCGCCAACTATGAGGTAGACATCTGAGCTTTATGAAAACAAAATTAAGGGAATGGAAAATTGGGAGGTGTGGAATGATTCTCCAACATGAATGCAAATCTAATATACAATATTACTTTATTAAGAGACGTTAAAATGGATGTGAAATAGGCACAGGAAAAGATTTTATCTGATGGTCTGAGTACAAGATGGGGCATACAATTTCTTTCCCATTTTTATTTGAACATAATGGATTTTTTTCAAGTTAAAATTTGTGAAGATATTACACTCTGTTGCATATGGGGGCATATGTGCTATTTAGTAAGGAAAACTCTCCAAGCACTTGCTGTTATTACTGGGATAGGGTTGTTTTTTTAACCTATAAAAATGGTCAGTTCTGGAGAAAGGGGGGGATGCAGAAAAGGAAAAGAGATGGGATAACCCCAATGTAGCAAACAAGATGTGATCAATGGTAAATTCCAAGCCCGTTTTGCATCCCAAGACTAAGGTAAAACAATTGACCCTTTATAGTGCAGGTTACCATGTCACTTTCTTGACCTGGAAGAATGGAACCCCATTCTTCCAGCAGGAATGAGCTTGAAGCAGTCAAACCTTCTCCAGGGTTAGGGCTTTTTCTTATTCATTTGAAAATAATATTTTAGTATATACAATGTATATTTTCATCTATACATTTTATTAATTTATTTTTTCAGATGGGAAGAATCCATACATGGTTACTTATGTGGTCTTGCTTTGCAGCTGACACCTGAAACTTTGACTCATTAGTTTTGTAATATCACTTGCAACTCCTGGTAAAATTATTCAGTCGTTTGCATTTTATGTGCTGGATGTCATTAAGTCTTCACCGTGGACCTGTGTAGGTTGTATTTGTCTAGTTTTATATATATGTTTTCTTTCTTTCTTTCTTTCTTTTTAAAGTCCCCAGATTGTGTAATTATTCTCTTACAAAGAAAAATCTCAATGCCTTTATTTGTAGACCAAGCCATTTTTGCATTACCTATAAAAAAGGCCAAGTGGCTAGCCTGGCTCCACTCAAGAAATTTACTGACCAAGGGTCAGGGTCAGTAGGTTTAGACTAGAACTACAAAAAAGAATTTCACATGGATATTAAAAAAAGATGCTGCGAGATTGGGCATTAATAGAAAAATCTTTTAAAAAATGTATCACTTAAGCAAAAAAAGTTTTATAGGAGTTTTTGACAACTTTTTTGTATCTGGATTCCTCCAGCTGCTGTGTCAGAGTCTCAGCCTCCCACACGCTTCCCATTTCCACGTGTTTGCACATTGAGCATCCATAACAATATGGTCCTGGTTTACCATTTATGATTCTCATGCATCATGTCATCCAGGCATCCATGATTTCGCTCTCCTGTTTGTTTTTGTGCCACACACTTGAATAATCAGAGGCATGCCAAGCCTTGCCTATTCAGAGTTTCTCTGAGAGGAAAAGGCTGTATGCTCACAGGCGTGTGTCTATGTGCATAAACCATGGTGTATTGTATTTGTGACGTGTGGTTTATAGTGCACAGTCTCCTATGAGTAGCATATGGTGTCAGCCTAAGAGGCGTGCAGCCATCACTAATGAAGACGGATGACGGGGAGCTCTGTCCTCTTCCTGTGAGCACTGTATCGCATACATGAGTGTATGTTTGTATGCTGTGTGTTCCATCTATTGCAGAACGGCACTCCGCTCACCTCCTCCTTTATTTTTTGCCATCATTTTGATGTGAAGGTAACACTGGACCCTTTTTCTTGGTTCTTTTCTTGTTGCTGTTCCTGCAGGAACACGAGAGAATATCACACTGAGCGAAGGTCTTCAGCCGGAGCTTCAGCCGGCACCGGTCACATCTCAGCCAAACAAACAACACAGAGTGCAGCCATCCAAAGGTGAGCATTTACTTGTGTTTGCCTGGCTTATTCAGTCATTGATGACGATCCCCACAGTTTATGGAATAAACCCTGTAATTATCTTACATGTGCGTACCACTGCGCTCCGTCTTCCATGTTTAACCCAAGTCCTTTCCTTTCCCGCCTCCTCTCCTCTTTGCTTCTCATTGGTGCAAGCTGCCCAAATGCCATGGCATTTTGGAAGTATGAAATAAATTCTCCCCCACTGACATTCAGAAACTTCTGCCATGTTTCCTTTGAAAAAGGGTGGGGGGCAGTAATAAATATGGATACCACTTTCACGGGTGTTGCTTTCTTCTAGAAAATGTCTGTGTGTGTGTGTGCATGTAGGTAGAAGGTGGTTGGGACTCTGTGGGCAGTCTTTAACCTTTCTAGCTGCAAATCCTCACAAATGGGTCAGTAAGCGACAAATTGAGATAGTATTTTGGTAAAGTAGCAGAGTTAAGCTGCTGCTATTGCGAAGACGCAGGGCATCTCACTTGTCATAAGTCCTCTTGTCTGGGACACTGTTGCTATATTTAGCTTGTTGCCATGGAAACACATCAGTCACATAAGTAAATGAATTAACTTTCTACATTGCTGGAACAGTCCAATGCTAAAATGGTGCTGGAAGGATCAACAAGGTTTTGATAATTGATTCTATTTATGATCGCTCTGCTTTTATATAGAATGATAATGCTGACTTTGAAACGATTGTTTATTGAGGGAAATAAGAACTGGAATGATAATACCATGAATAGCATTTGTAGTTGTGGATGTAATATGATTTTTTTACAAGTCAGACTGCATAAAACAGGATATTGCTTTCTCCTAACGTGACACAATCAGGACACCATAAAGGATAAATATGTTTTCTGGTAAATCTCCGCCTTCAGATCAAGAGAGCAACTAAACTGACCAGTCATCTCATTTTCCTTCTCTCACTTCTGTCAGATGACAGAAGTTCACATGCATCATCTTGGGAATGCCACACGGCTGGCAGTGACCTTGGAACAGATGGTGTCAGCAGGGAGGACACACCTGCACTGCTCAGCAGCCTGGATCCTCCAGAGGGGGTGGAGATGAATGGGATTGACAGGAGAGAAATCGTGGCCCTGGAAGACGACCCTGAGCTGGAGGATGGGAATAGTCCGGTGGAGGAAGCAGGGCATGAGGTCGAGGGAGTTGAGGATGAAGAAATAGGTTCCACAATTGAAGAAGGTGAAGAAGCGGCTCTGGCGCTGGATGTCCCGCTCACTCAGTCAGAGCTTCAATGGCTTTCACTAGAAAAAGCATCTGCCAGTCTTCCAGAGGTAGGTCATATAGCCTGCCAGGACAATGGCTCAAATGGTGAACAGACACACCAAGAAGCCTCAAAATCTCTTTCAAAGAACAAAGAAGCAGATGGGTCAAGTTCAACTGAGTGGGACATCCACTGTCCATCTGCACGGAGTGACACTTGTCAAAATGACAATTTGGCATGATCTGACATCATGGAAAGGTTCAAAGGCTTCCTTAAATCTGTCTTTGCTGTTATTGATGATTGCATTAATCATTCTTCGTTGCATTCCCGTGGTGTAGCCTCTGCTCATTAGCTCCCTGCTTCACTGAGCCGCTCTCTCTTAGTCAACAGAGGAGAGAAAACTCTCTCCAGCCTCTGCTAAACAACGTCAAATGTACATCACCTTGACAGGTTTGTTGCACGGGAGAAGAAATCATCAAATCAATGTAGATTCACACTGCATGCCCTGCAGCAAGAATACAAACATGTCATCATCAACTCCTGTGCACCATATTCCCTTCTGGCTTTCGCCTGTGAAAAGATAATCCCAGTTGTTTGCTCTTTTCTTCATACCAAGGTGTGCCACTAAACTGCATTTTGTTGACACTACTTTGTGATTCCAAGTTGCTGTAACAAGAATTTAATGAATGTGTTGGATTTATTGGTCAATTCATACTCTTACTTGTATTTTCTGTAATTGAAAGGGAGTATATCTTACAAATCATTCCAAATGTATTTATACAATTGATACTTTGTATCTGGCTGCAACTACGTGTGCCTTATATGTCGGAATACTTATTCAAAAATATAGCTGCATAAATCTGCAGAATTCTTGGTTTTTATTTTTTCCATAGTAATTCTATTGGCACACACACATTAGGTCGGTTTGATTGTCGATTTTCTGCATTGGAAAATCTGTTTTGTTCCATGTTCTCAGTCTTGGCTTCATGTTGATGCATCTTGGCAAAATGGGAGCTGAGGCAAAGGCACACTGCTTGCCTGGATGACAGTTTACATAAAAAAGTAAGAAAAAGAAGGTTAATTTTATAGAAATCCGGGGCATCCAAGGTAATGATAATTCTTTTGCAAATATTCCCTGTAATATCAATGTAATTTACAGCTAATCTGTGACAGACAAATCATTACATTTAGACAGCAAGATAATCTTCAATGTTTGTTTTTTATTTAGTTAATATGCAAACTCACATTGGCAGTGTCGTTCTGATTGTACAAATTACAAGTTCGGAACACCAGACGTTTTTGAGCACTAATGGAAGAAAATGGATGCACAAACACGCCTGTTTTGTCTTGCCGCCAAAGTCCAGAGCCCAGTGCCTATTGAGAATCAGTGGTGAGGCCTCCTCCTCCTACATGCAGGTGACAGCTGGGCTCTCCAGGCAAACGCAGCGTCAAAGCCAGAATGCATGAACTGCTTATTCTGCAGAGGGCTACTTGCTATTTTTAATCTCTGACATAAAATAGAGGAGAGGAGAGCGAAGGCACTGAAGTTTGGAGCCATGGTGCACCCAGTTCTGGCCCCGTGCCAGGCAGCTGATTCGGCAAATAACCCCAGAACTTTTGTTGTTGTTTTATTTATTCCAAGTCAAAGTTTCTAAACCAGATGGAAGCTAAACTAATGAATCTGCAAAATGATAGCAGTGTGTAAATGCATTTCTATAAAGTAAATGGCAAGTTAAAATAATTGTTTTTGGCTTGTTTGCATTGATCTGAAAGGTTGAGTTGAGAGATACACATTGGTATTGAAAGTTGGGTGCTTAAATATAATACACGTAAAGGAAAACGTTGAGCCCCGTTCTGGCTAATCTTTAACGCTATGGATGAAATAAGCCTGTTTTTTCACATACAGCCCGTGGGAAACCTGGGCCACAGCGACATTCCCTAATAGAGGAAAGTTTAAAAAAAAAAAGATTGAATATGCAAAGCAGAGTGTTGATTGGCTTTGTGGTGTTTAAATCACACGGTTATGTGTTTACTTCTGCATATTTGTCTCTGAAAGGGATATCATGGGAGGAACTATTTGGATGTTTGTGCAAGATGTGCTGTGATGACTTAAGCTTTTATGTCTCATTAGAGGTTAGGTTTTTAATCTTGGACATGAATGCCATGGCAGTATAAGGATTTAAGATTTATTTTAATTCATGTCTTTTGTATACACTGGCACAGAAAGTTGTGAGATTTGTCAACACCTCTTTCCACTGTTTGTGATCATGATTGTCAAAGAAAAGTTGCCATTTTGCACAGTCAAAGCCTTCAATTTTCTCTGAAATGTGCAACCATCAACATGCACAACAGATGGGGAGAGATTCTTTGTCAGATGAAGAGGAAAGCTGAAATATTCTAGCCAGAGTGAGTCGGTATTTTAGTGCTCTGTTGTCAACAACACTATTTTGTCTGCCTTTTTTTCATCAGGAGTTCATTGCACCTCAACAACAATATATATCACAACACATTCTTATGGATATTTATACTGTAGCAATGAGTATGTTAATTACATCTTAAAATGCTGCTCTGCTGTTGCAAATATTCAAACTGTGTCAATCTTAAACCTTCCTGTGTCTCTGTAGGCAGGATTATCTAAAGTTGCACAACACAAAAGAATGTTTTGCTCCCGAGGAGATTGGCACGTGGATGTACTTTTGTGAGTCTCATACATCAACTTGCATAAAAAGACAATGGTTTATATGTTAGAAATAGCTATGTTTACTTCTAGGTCAGAGTGAGAAAAATATATTATACACTAAGCTAAAGATAGCATTGATTTGACAGTATTAGTAATTTTGTGTTGTGAAGTAATTCCTTTAAAGATACTTAAACCTGGCATGTCCCTCAGAAGATGAAATCTTTTTTTTTTTTGTGCCTGATGTCTTTCATACTCATATAGGACCTGTGGGTCTTTGTTCCCTACGACCTACCTCAGTAGTTTTAATATTTCTTGGTGGCCAAACCGAACCTTCCTGTCACAGCAGCAACTTCCACAGTCCAGCTGAGAAGCGAAACGGGCAAACTTGCAGGATGCAGGTGGAGCAGGAGCTTGTGGACAGCCGATAAGCAGAGAGGCCACACTGGAGGTCAGCACTTCGCTATGCCATACAGTCCGATCTCTATTAAGATAGGAGATGGTGGCCCAAGGTGATAAGAGCTGACAGGACCCAGTGATGTGATATCACTGATGGGATTCCAGCTGCAGATGCCACAGTGCCTAATCAGAGGGAGAATCAAGGCTGAACTTAACTTGTTCCAGGCAACAGTGAGGTGGTTCAGAAATGTGTTGAGTAAGATTATTTTTACTGTTTTGTCAATTAGAGAACAGCATGAGGAAACTTTTGAAATGATTACTGCTGCTTATACCTTAAGTTTCTCCTTGATGGATTTTGGTTTGGTTTCGAAAGAATAAAGCTTGGACTTTTACAGTTGACAATGCATAACATATAGTGACAGAGAATAACAAATTATTTCAAGAAGGTTTAGAAGGACATCAGAAGACAAACACAAAAGATCACATCCAATGAACTTTCTGTTGACATCTGTGACAGAACCTCTGTATACCATTGAACAAGACAAAGGGGAAAACATATTTTAATTCTTCAAGTTTTTCCTGGAGCACAGCAGTGTAAATAATTGTGAAGCTGGGCAGGTGTGAAGCACTTTCACTCTTCCTGACCAAACTGAGCAGTAACCTGCCAGAAGAAAGACTATCTTAGCAGCACTCCATCAGTCTGACATTTGTAGGGCTGGGTGGAGTCTTGAGAAAAAATTAGTGCTGTGAACTTATCAAACAACCTTGAAAGCATTATACTTCCACAAAAGACATTTTTTTTCCAACATCTGATTACAAAACAATCAAGATCAAATTGGGAGAGAAACCTCAACTTTCTGATTTGATACAACAATTAAGCACATTGGTGACATTTAACCAAAAGAAAAAAGTAAGATTTCTACTGTTTTCATACAGCTCTATAAATTGTGATCTACCATTTAAAAATCATCATAACAATATTTTATAACTACTCCAAAATAAGTTCTCTGCAAAGAGCACTTAATTCTCTACTGTCCAATTTTATGAGCAAACTTTAAAAAAAAAACTATTTAGATTAAGTACACATCTTCATGAATAACTAACAAAATTATTGATTTGAATGCAAATTACATTTATTCATTCAAAGATGATATTTTTCTCCCAGCAAAAACTGATTGTTCCAGGTATTGTGAAATGCACTCCTTCTTAGCAGGTGGACAAAATGTATAAGGATTTCCCCTATCACAGACATCTAAACAGAGATACATAATCCTCAGCACAGATTGACTAAATGTCAGTGGCCTCAGGATGCTGTGCAGCTGTACACGAGGGAAAATGCCAACAGAAATAAATGTATAATTGGATTATCAGGGTCAGGAGAAAAATCCCAATGCGCTTATGTTTTCCTGAACTGTGCGACTCCCCATCTAGAAATGCTAACTGTCCCTTAAAAAAACCCAAGGGCCTGTGATCTATCAGACCCCCACATTTACTCATCAATTTCTCCAATGCTTCATGAAAAAAAGTATGCCAGTGGCATTCCCCCTACTGTAGATCATATTTCTGCTCAGGACAGATGTAAGCTGTTGTTGTCATGCTTCTTTATCAGCTCATTTTTGGGATGTGGATTTGATTCCTCCCAGCCCTCTCTCTTATTTGTAGCCCAGCAGCTATGCTGACTTTATCCAGCAATTTGCAATACTGTTTATTCCAAGTGGGGTCACGAGGGGGCTGGAGCCTATCAGCTGCCATTGGGCATAAGGCAGGTACACCCTGGACAGGTCGCCAGTCTGCTCACCAGAGCTATTTCATACACAATTGGAAACATAGTTAATAACCCATGACAGAGGGACACACAGTAGGTTAGCAAATGATCCTGAATATTAAAACAGTATTACTTTCTTTATGGTCACTTCTCCTTAACCATGACTGTCAATTTCCCATAAGTGATGAGCTATTTACTATTATGTAGCTTGTTAGAAAAATCCTTGCAGATTCTTTCGTGAATGGCACTGATTGTATGTGGTGACATTATATCTTCATTTGAAAGTTGAAAGTTTCAGCTATTTATTGTAATGCTATATCATCATTATTAATGATCATTATTAACGATCTCTTTCAGTGTTGAGAAGGCTGATCAGTTTGTTTCAGAACAGCAAAATGACAGCTGATGAAAAGTGCCATTTTAAGTGAAAGGTTACTGAAGAAGGAGAGCAGTGAATACATTTCCCATGGGTCAGTCAGCAAACACTGTTTTGGGTTATGAATGATTATAAGTAATTTTCCCCTTTTTTTAATTTGAGTTTTTTTTGTTGTTGTTGCTTGAACTACAATTTTATTCTAAATTATATTAGATTGCGAAAAACAATATCAGTTTTTTTGTATTAAAGACAAACAATGGACCAAATGATCAGCAATTCAAAGGCAAAGGTGCTTCTCTGGACATGGTAATCGTGTCGGTAGCCTATGATGTAACCGCTTGCAGTCTGAGGGCTTTTGTACAGGAGGGGGAAAGGTTGGAGTGGTGCCTGTGTGTGTGTGTTGCATATCATCCAGACTCCACTGAGACACAACAGACCTCCTGCATCTGCATCCGCATCCTGCCTTTAATCTGCACGCACGATAACACGTGTTGGTGGGCACTTGCAGGAACAACTAAATTCCGGGGCTCTTCTGCATATCTGGCTCACATGAACGCTTTTTGTTAAGGATAACAATGATGAGGTAAGCGCTTCCGGTCGCCATTTTGACGGTATTTAACGGTTTTGGGCGGAATGTCTAAGTAGTAAATGCCCACTGTTTACAGAGATAACGATGTCAGTGTGCCAAATCGACGTGGTTTAGTCTTAGAAATGGGTACTCTTCGAGGAAAAAGCGGCCCAGTCATGCGAATGTACCGCTAGCTTTAGCAGGTGGCTTTATGCTGTGCAGAATAGTCGTTTCCCATTTTTAGTCGTCCTGACTTAGTCGTGCACAATTAAAGTCTGAATCCTTTTAGACAGAAGGCTGGCACCAACTGGAATGAAAACGCATATATGACACATTTGTGTAATTCGCTGCCGCTTACGTGGCACGTTACGTTTGCGGGGCAGTAACGTAGTTTAAGCTTCTTTTTTCAGGCCTGCCGTGGTTTGCACGTGGCTATCAAAACATGCTAACCGTTAGCAGGTTATGTTTAAGGTTTTAGCAGAGAGCCGGCGTAAGCCAGCTAAGGTGCTCGGACAGGAGCCAGCTCTGTGACCCTGTGGGAAATCACAGAGGCGCCTCGTCTGGTTTTATAGCTGCTGAACAGCACATCATTCTTCCATAAAGAGGGACGAGCCACGAAGAAGCACAAGCACGATCATTTGCTCAAATCAGGCGTACTTAATATCATAACTCTGTTTCAGAGACTCTGATTCAGATAAACGACAGAAACTGTAAGGGTTGCTTGATAAATTCTATTACTTTACAACAGAATCCATTCCAGCCAAGGCATTTGGCTCATATTCTACGGATGCAGTGATACCTCTAAAGTTAAACTATCAACAAGTGCCCTACACACAATCAAATGTAGTAGAGTTAATAATTGTAGGCATACGAATACTTGATGATCTTTCTGTTCTCTGCAGACTAGTAGTTTTTTGTTATTTATTTCTCTAGGGTATTCCTGCCCTTGTTCATTTTGCTGTAATTTCTACAAAATCACTCAACATTCCCATCTTTGTCTGGCCTAAAATAAAAATACTTTACTGGTTGATGCTGAAACATTTGGCTTTATGATTTAGGTTCATAATGTTTAAGACAGAAAATCTTTCAAATTGCAGCTAAATATGTCTTAGAAAGTAGAGTCGCCTTAAATCAAAACAGCTTTCTAACCAGTAAAGGAGAGGAAGGTGTTTCTGCCCAAAAATGAATGGATGCAATTGTGTATAGTTGAAGTAGTCATTGCAGCAAGTGCAACAGGTGTGCGTTGCACTTTTCTGAGCAGGCAGACTCCTTCATGTAGTAGGTTGTTGTCTTGCAATGCCTTTAAATCAACTTTTTTTTTACAGCCTTTTGGGCTTATGTAGGATTTTAAATGATCAGAAACCATTTATAATTTGATGTAAACTGAGAAATAACGTTGCAGACAATTAGCTTAGTCACGACCTTTGCATGCTACACTTGATTAGACTGCTTTTTCCACTGGAAATGCGCTCTAACCTTTATTTCTGATTTATTTATTTGATTTTTTTTCCCCATGAAAAGAACTTGACAAGGCTTAACATTTGTGCACTGTTTGTTCCGTGTTGTGCCCTCCCAATCTAGTTACATGCATAGCTGCATCTGATGGTGTATTGTTTGGCCTAATTGGAAACTTAATTGGTTGGTTCACATCGCACCGCCTTATCAAATCTTAACCTGGCATACCTTCGCCTTTAAGGGGTGACAGAGACCGGCGCCGTGACAGAAACCGGGACCGCGACGGAGACCGTGACAGGCACCGTGACAGGGACAGAGACGGGAAGTCAGCCAGTTTGCCCATCAGCCCGGCAGCAGCCACGGTGGGCTTCCTTAAGCAACCTCCCATTCAGCAGCAGATAAACCCCTTCACCAGCATGCCGCACACGCCACGCTACTATGAAATCCTGAAGAATCGGCTGCAGCTGCCTGTCTGGGAATACAGAGAGAGCTTTACTGACATCCTGATGCGCAACCAGTCCTTTGTGCTGGTGGGAGAGACGGGCTCTGGAAAGACCACACAGGTATCAAGGCAGAATATGTTTTGCATTTTTGAAATACAGCAATGAGCACTGAAAGCAAACCTTATGCATTGATCCAAATAGTAACACTACATGAAAGCTTTATGATGGGGATTAGACTTGGTGTGATGTTATTAGTGAACATGATGGGATAAATGTAGCACATGCTTTAATGGTGTCTCTGAGGAGTTCATTCTCACTAACATAACCTCATGTGTATATTGTGTAGAAATTAAAATTATGATTAAGAGGTTTGCAGGTTGAATGAAAATCCTCGTTCTTCACATTTACTGGAAGGTTAGAAATACTTAGGAAAGTTGAGTAAAAATAATCATGAAAATGAAAAATTAGCATTCAGAAATAGGCTGCCGTCTCCTTTTTTGTTTGAATAAAGCTGAAGCCACATCACAGTTGTAATAGAATGAATTGTACCTTCCTGAGCGTTCGGTCCAAGGGATTTTGATAATTAGGCTGGGGGTCCTGCAAGTACTAAAAGCAAGTTTTGATATTTTCTGTGAAATATTTGATCTCTTCCCAACCTGTTATATCCATTTTTGTACCTCCGACTGGTTGACATTTCAAAGATTGGTAAGATTTGAATCATCTCTAAAGGGCAGTCATCCAAACTGTGAGCGTGATAAAGGGAAACTAGGCCTTGGGCTTCTTTTGGCAAGTTGTTTCAGTTTTTTATTAATATTTTTTGGGTAAGGTTTTTGGCTCAATAAATGTTTTCAATCATTGGCTTTGCAAGACATGGAAAACAGTTTAATACATTTAAACAAATGAAATGATTAATTTTCTGTCTTTGTGGCTCACCCAGCTATCCACAGCCCTGCATCCATTTGGGATGTTGTGCTGTATCTACTCGCAAGATGTGGTTTCAGACCAAATTCGTCTGCTGTTTTCCAGATCCCTCAGTGGTGTGTGGAAACGCTGTGGTCAGTGGCCGGGCCAAAGAAGGCAGTAGCCTGCACGCAGCCCAGGAGGGTGGCAGCGATGAGCGTGGCCCGGAGGGTTGCAGATGAGATGGATGTCGTGCTGGGTCAAGAAGTGGGCTACTCCATCAGGTTTGAGGACTGCAGCTCTGCCAAGACGGTACTCAAGTAAGAGATACATTTTTGAATAGATCATTCACAGCGACACTGAGAGGTTGACGTTATAAAACTTTTAGAAAAATGAATATATTTTGAAAGGAAAAAATTGTCTCTGGTAAATACTTTGTCTTTTCATAAAGTTTGGAGAGTATTTGACTCGTATAATGCATATATACATGACTATAAAACTAAATTGTACCGTAATATTGCTGCTCCTCTTCTCTTTATTCAGATACATGACAGATGGAATGTTGCTGCGGGAAGCCATGAACGATCCCCTGCTGGAGCGCTATGGTGTCATAATTCTGGATGAGGCTCATGAACGCACATTAGCCACAGACATCCTTATGGGGGTCCTCAAGGAAGTAGTACGCCAGAGGCCTGACCTTAAGGTAAACTGCAGCTCTTAGAACATCTTAAGAATTCACTATTTTTGTTGTTTGTGGTTACTATTTTTGGACCGGCTGTCCTTTTGACAGTGCATTGATATATTTGGCTAGTATTACATTTGTGTGCACAAATATATTTCTTGTAATGCCTGTAAAATCCTGTTGAGGCTAAATATGTGTTCCATTGTTGGATAAATGCAATGACAGTCAGTGTTTACCGCCTGCTCTGTCATTTTTTTCTATAACATTTGTTTTTTTCTGTCAGTGTCCCCACATCTGCCGGCTGTTTACGTGTTCAAGAAAAAGACACACTGCTGTTACACTCATAAATGCACATCTTTTGTGCTGCAGCAGAGATGGCTCCCAGAGTCATGGACATTTTTAAGCCAGCCAGGAGGAGAATGGCAACTGTTGGTGTGAATGGGAGTGTAGAGGCAGGCAGAGGTTTTATAGGCTCGAGTGTGCCAGATATAATATTCATAAAGCAGATGGATAATGACTAGTTGTTTGTCAGTGTGGAATCAAAGGTTAGATTGTTGTTCGCAGACTGTTAAATGAGGTCTAGGTTATTGGGAATGATCATCCACCCACACCCCCCTATCTCCTTCATCCCTATCGCCTACCAAATTTGAAAGTTTAATTTGCCTTGATTAAGAGCAATTATGATGTCTCGCAGAGCGTAAAGCAAAATGCAGAAACACTGGCCCCTGAAAATGTTAGAGATTGAAAATGGGAGGTGCATTTCCCATCAGAATTTTAATGCATACTGTCTAATGGCTCAGCAAAAGAACATTGTGTACTCAACATGAGGAACAAGGACTGCCATAGCTCTGTGTAGGTCAGTGACTTGGATTGTAATGCCAAGTTGTACATTATAAACACCATCTTTGGTTTGTGCCAACAGTTTCGCACTGAATTATGATTCACATAATCTATGTAGTATAGAGTTGTGGACTCGTCACATATCATGTTTTAATTCCACCTTTGTCGACTTAGTATTTGTCCTCATCCCCAGTTGTCATCAGGCTACATAAAACGTTAACTGGTTTGTCTCTTGAGTGCTCACATCTGTAATCTCTGTAGTCAGTAACTCTCTGCCATTTTTGCTTTTACTTTTCTCATATTGTATGATCACAGAGTGCCTCACAGGCTTATTAAACAGATATGCTCTGTTTTTCTTCTTCTTCTTCTTATTTGTTAAAGGTCATTGTGATGAGCGCAACACTCGATGCTGGGAAGTTCCAAGTGTACTTTCACAGCTGCCCACTGCTAACCATCCCTGGACGCACGTACCCTGTGGAGATTTTCTACACACCAGAGCCAGAGCGCGACTACCTGGAGGCAGCCATCCGTACCGTACTCCAAATCCACATGTGTGAAGAAGACGAAGGGGATGTTCTGCTCTTCCTCACTGGACAAGACGTAAGGCTCCAGGAGTTCAAAGCAACAGTTTCTGGACAGTCAGAGTAACATCAAGGCTGCACGTAATAGTTGTTCTGTTTTTTTGTTTCATGATAAATCAGCTGGACTTTAAAATGTGAACCTCAATATGGGGTTGAAATTTTGATAAAAGCCAGTAAAAAAAAGGACACTCATCCGATAGAATTGGTCAAGTAAATATTTACTTTTTCTGTAAAAGAAAGTCTGATTATATTGTCATTCATGTTTTAATTGACATTTTTCAAACATTAGGGCAGTGCATCCATAATGTGCCCTGGCTGCTCAGGAGATGATTAGCCCTCAGACTGAACCATATTAATGCAATGACTGGCCCTGTTTGGGAGCCATCAGGATTTCCACTGTGAGTGGAGGGAAATGAAAAACAAGTGACCCAGATTCTCCCCTTCCCACAAATCTCTAAAATTAAATCATTTATTATTTCTTCTCCCCGTCTGCAAATGCTGTCCACTGATGTGTAATAGAGGGCAGGGCCCATGCCCACGGTGATGAATTTGGTCACAGCTGGGTGGAGGCACACACGCAGAAAAGCACTAGCAAATGTCTCAATCTCCCGATCACTGGACAGGAGAAGCCTGTCGGATCCAGCGATGCTTGTGTTGGCATGATTAGTTCTCAGCCCTTTGACAAAAGGGCGTTGGAAAACATTCATCACTGGTCGTTGTTAAGGAGAACGTTGCCTGTGGAGACCGAACCGCCCTCAACTTAATTTTACTGCTTACACTTTGCACAGTGATAAGGACATGGAGAATCTCTTGTTGTCGTGGCTTCATCAGTCTCCTTTTATGACCGGTTGTTGACTACCAGTAATTAGATGTCATTTGACACAAGCTCGACTGGTGTAGAACACCAACATCAGTTTTCATTTGTCAAAGCGTGGTCGATATGCGGCTCGGAACAAACAGGATAAAGTCATTGGTGGGGCATGACGTTTGAAGTGGTCTCCTTTGAGGACTGGAAATTGATTTTAGATTAAGTGGTATTCCAGCGGTTTGGAATTCCAGAATAATTGGTAGTCACTCATGTGAGTGAATGGAAAGCCCTGGATATTTACAAGTAATGTGTAAAAGATTTTATTTCTATTTTCGCAGCTTGGTGTAATTTGTTGATTTATATTCAACCCCCCCCCCCCCTTGCTGTGTCAAGCTAAGGCATTACAGAGAGCACTCCCACAGTGAGTTCATTATCACCCTCTCCTAATTGGGTTAAAGAAGTTAATGTGTGGTAGGTCTGGCAGAGATGGTTGTTCAAAGGGTGCGGCAGCATGCCCCTCAAGCACTTCTTAACCTCCTCAGTCTCCCAGCAACTTTGATGTAGACTAATGATTTGGAGGCAGATTTATGGCTAAGCCATAGATTCTTTTTATCTGACTGTTTAATTTAAATCAGAGAAATGCAAGCACAGAGGGCCATGCTCCTCTCTGCTCCACTGTCTTGCCTGAGATATTTTCCCTCCACAAACAAATAGAAATGAAGCACCAGCTGCAGACGAGACAGGCTAAACTTATCGCAGCTGTAGTGCAAAGATAAGTCCTAATATTTAAGCTTCCCCCTCAGCAGCTAACATCAAAACACAAGAATCGGTGGGGGGGGGTTGTTTGCTAGTCAAGAAGGGTGCATTAATGTGTCTGTTATTAGCTTGGCTATAGACTCTTGCTTCTGGGGTCACAGGCAAAGCTGGTGGACAGGTTTCCAACACTGGACAAATGCCCTGATAAATGTACACACTTCCATGCATGCGCGCGCACACACACACACACACACACACACACACACTCTGTCTTCATATCCTCAAGGGGACAGACAGCCAGCTTGCTTCCAGCGTTTTGGCAAAAGAGGTCCTTTTTTTCCCCCTAATGGCAGCTGCTGCATCCAGACGCTCGATAGGCTATTAATACTGGGGCTAATTTTACCAATCCATTCAGATTTACCGTTTTCCACTTGTCAGTGTGTTGATTAAGAGGCACATGGCGATCAGCGGGGCGCGACTTAATGTGATGAACAAGGGGACAAACAGGGCTTAACAACGCATTTGCAGTCCAGACGGAAAAGAGGAAACATCACTGTGCCACTTTCTCATGTCGGGACAAACGCGGCTTCCGAGCCGGTTTGAGCTTTTCTGAAACAATTTTAAGTACAGCACTCGCTAAGAGAAAATGTTCTTTTAGAGGTTAGAAGTTACATTTTCCAATTCTGTCAGCAAACTTCAGGTATAATGGAGAAGATGAATAGAGGTAACTTCATGGTGTCTCTGCTGCATTGCTCCCGTGGGCCTGCAGGTGGTGCAACAGCACAAGCTGTAAGGGATCTGCAGCTTTATGAAAATTAAATGATTGTTTGGAAAAATAATATAATAGTTCTTCACAGAAGGGGCTGTTTTTAAAGCATGTATTGAAAGTTTCCAAGACAAACCCAAACACTGCAAGAATAGTTAGGAAACAGTGCATAGAAGCGATTAAAACAAAACAAAATTTCAATTTCTTCGGCAATGTGGTCCATAGATATTGTCTCATGTCAAGTTTTAGAAAAAAATAAAATTCCGTGTTTTGAGAGCAAGCTTATAGATTGCGTTTACCGTTGTGTTTCCTTATTCTTGGAGCTACACGCGACCTGTCTGCCAGCCCATCTGCTCTAGAACGTTCAGCTTCACTAAACTGATCTGCCATGATTTGCCGCTGGTTATGCATCAATGCTGCAGTCTCATATCGCATTCCTCTCTACAATACTGCGCTGTAGAATAATGAACCCTGCTGGAGAGTGTCTTGCTCTGTGTGTTTGTGCCTTCCGAGTGTGCGCATCCGTGTTTTTCATGATTGCTGCATTTGACAACAGAGCCACAGGGAGCTCAGCAAAGCATACTGCAGTCCAGGTTTAATTTCCTCCATCAGATAGAGTGATAGTTTAAACAAATGCACTGTAGCAGGAAACCAAAGTTTCCCTGGCCACCCTCTCTTTCCTGCCTCCATCACATCCACTGGCATTGTTTTTGGGGATGTTGCTCAGAAGCTGCTTGTTTTTGCATTTTTACATATGGCAGGGGTGCAGGGATTAATTGTGGTGTTTTCATCATGCAGGAAATTGATGAAGCCTGCAGGCGAATTAAAAAAGAGGTTGATGACCTGGGCCCCAGAGTCGGCGAAATCAAAGTCATCCCCCTGTACTCAACACTGCCTCCACAGCAGCAGCAGAGGATCTTCGAGCCGCCCCCCCCCAACAAACCAAACGGTGGAATCGGAAGAAAGGTTAGTCCTGTTGCTGTAAAAACACTTATGACGGAGAGAGGGCCAGATTGATAATTAAATGGGCTAAGTAAAAGCGCTGGAAGGTAGAAGCTGAAACTTTTTTCCCTTTCTCAGCTATGTGCAGAATTGACTCACAACATATGCTGCTTTTGTCAGCATGCAATTCTCTGCTCTGAATTATAACTGGGCTGCTGCTTATTGCCCTGTGAGCTGGAGGAAAACACTACATGTTTGGTGATTTTTTTTTTTTATCGCTACATTTGCACAGGAGAGGACAGGGACCTCTGCAGTCTCAAACTATGTTATGGGTGTGTGTCCTGTGGGTTGACCAAAGACAGGAGTTTTGTCGCTGTACATTCTTCTGTCACTAAATCTTAGAGGAGTTGGGGATGCTTTTATTGATACAGACATGAAAGAGTTCCCAGCTTTTGTGTGACAGTGTCTGTTCAGATGGACTCATCAGTGGAGCAGCAGCACCACCTGCAGTGTCACAATGCTGGCATGGGATCTGAGAGAGTTCTGGAATGTCATCTCAGCCACTGAATGAGCAAACATTCATTCCCCACAGCTGATAGTGAGCAGTGATGAATGACTCATTGCTACAGCCCTTATAATTGAGTCAGATCCTGCTTACATAAAGAGAGGATTTTATTTTGGCTATCACAGTTAAACACGTTGAGAAACTAAATAGTTCGACCTAAATGGTGTAAATATGAGAGCATTGCACTGTGGGTAGTGTAACATGCAGCTGTGGCTGTCATATTGGATTGGATCCTCTGACTTTTGAAGTCGGAAATCCAACGTATAAGTGGCTTCATTTACAGATCTTTGCTTAAAGATTCAGAATCAATGACAGAACATGCATCCACCCCTTTCCATGTAACCTCAATGCAACCCTTCTATTACTGTCAAGGTTTGTCAACTTTAAGGTACACGGCTTGACTAAGTGGGATCAGCTGTGCTCTAATTGCATCGAGAGGGAAGAAGTCACCAAATCTACAACCTACCAACTTATTCAGGAGTAGAGAGCTCAACCTGGACCCTACAATCAAATTTAACTCCCATTAAGAGCAAACTGAGTAAATGATGAGGATGAATGACCATCACAAGGCATTGTCGGATGTCAGAGGGGACTGACTCCCGTGTAACATTCATTTCATACAGCACAGAGGCGGGCAGAGCAGACAGTGGCTGTGAAGAGATGCTGATGCAGATTTCTGCATTTTTACTGCCTGTACAGACATGTGGCATCTTTAATCATTGTCATTTAATGATGCAAGGTACTAAGTATGAATACTGAATCTCAAATGGAAATTGTATTGTAGCAGTACTATTTAAGAGCCAGTATTTACAAAAGGAGGCAAAAGAGCATATAAAGGACCCAAAAAAATTCTGATTGTGCTTTTAATTTCAAAGGTGTCCATCTCCTGGGGTTGTGATATAAATCTAGATTGAGACGCAGCCCTTAACACACATTAAGACACTGTTGTATTTAGCTCATATAGAAAATGAAGTGAAACACAGAAAATGAAGCTCAGTGTTCTGAACTGTTCCAGCCTCCACTTTTAGCGTCAGAGCAGTACCGTTTGTGTCCCTTTTTCCACAAGCATCCATTTATCAGGTTCTCGTTGAATCGGTTGAGGTGCCATCTAAAGTTGCCGTCCTTGAAGTAAACGTGCTTCTCCTCAGTGACTGACTGAGCAACCCATCAAGTGAAAAATGTAGAGATGTCATCCCAGCCAGCCCAAGAGGAAGTAGTGAAAAGGAATTAAGGTTCGCCACATCTGCCGCTATGCATGCTAACGACTGCATTAGGCACTCCTAATTAACATAAAATACCAGCTCGTCACTGCTCTATTTCTCTTGGAAAGCCACTGATCCTTTGTTTTTGAACAGTTTAATCATTTAATACCAAGGCAGGAATGGACTAATTACAAACAAAGACCATAATCTTACTTTGCGTGTAAGAGTGAGAAAGTCGATGTCTAATAAATGGGCTGTACTGAGTGGTCTGATTATCAGCACTGTCACATTCTCCAAAATGTTACAGGGGATCCTGCCATATATCCATTTCAGTGAGCTTTGAATGCGGGGGCTTCGGTGCTGCTCTGGGCACGTTTTTCTTCTCCCTAGTCAGGAGAAGGCTTTATTTGTCATCAAGGCTATGTTTCCCAGCAGGGAATGTGAAAGATGGCCCATTTTAGCTATAGTGCTTGCTCTCCTGCAGGTAATAACCCAGAAATAACATGCAGAGATGATGCTCTAATGATATTACTGATGAAGAAGCCAGGATTATCCAGTGCAGCAACAGACTGGAAGGAGCCAGTCTGCATTCAGTGTAATGGGCCTAGCCTGGATAATCCTTCAGAATCAATGCAGTCAATGAGGCCACCCATATGATCATGAAATGTGAGAGGGTGTCATGTGTGGCATCTGCTGGAGCACCGACTGTGACCCAACATGCATTTTAAAGGCTGGCTCTTCTGGTCTTCCTTTTCCTTTTTTTAAGCATTCTATATACTTGATTTTCATTCCTTGCTGGGTCGTTGGACACTGGCATGAAGCATTATTCACAAACCACAGCATACTGTATCAATAATGCACTAATATGACATACAGAACAGATAGTCCCCCTCAGAAAGTGTTTATGCTTTGCTCAAAAGATTGCTTTATTTAATTTTTGGCAAAGATGTGGCCAAACCTAGACCCCTGTTTACATTAAAACAATTAAAACAGTTGGTCAAATTCCGGCTATGGAAGAAGCTATGAAAGCACATCTGAACTGACCAGCTGGTCTGATATTAAATAGATGCCCTACGCTATTTCCATTTAGCAGGATTTTGTATATTTTCAAAGAGGGCTATCACATCTGTATAAAAACCCAATCCTTTTCCAGACTTTGCAGTCTGATAAGTTTCATACCAGCGTCTATTTCCATCTCTTCATTTGTCGACTTGAATACAAAGGGGAATGTGTCTTCTGACAGGTGAATTACTAGAGGTTAAAGGCAGAATGAGGAGGGGGGGGAGGCCCTCTCCGGCATTAATAACTAAACAGTCAGGCATTCTCAGGCTGGAGAGAAATCCGCACTTAAAAGGTGGGATTTAAAAGTCTCCAAGGCTCACAGCTTGAAGACAGCTGAGGAGACACGCCAACAAAGGAAGTGTGTCAAGTGTGCAAAATTGGTTCTGTGGACCGGTATCTGCTAAGACTACAGTGACTGTTTGCTTTGGTGCTTGGTGTTTTAGACCTATCAGAAGACCTCTGAGAAAGCAGATGGCTCCCGTCAATCGACCGCATAGATCAGCCTACAGATTGGTCCTGTTGTAAAAGACCAAAGACGTTTCCTTTTTTCCTGCTCTCGCATATAAAGCTATAACACTAATGTAGTCGTTGCCCATGTTGCTACAATGTGCAGTCCCCTGATGATTCTTTAGGCTTGCTTTACCCATTCAGTTCTGTTTTTTTTAAGGAGAGCTCCCCATGGCTGCAGTCATGTGTGAGCAGTTCAGGGTGGTAGCCATGTGCTCATCTCCATACTGACACTGTCAGACTCAGGGTGATCTGACACATTGGATAATTTGTCTGATTCATCTGTCATTTCTTATGGACAGCTTTGCAAGAAGAGAAAGCAGTAGATCTTAGAGTGGGACATGGGGCAGGTTCTCAGATCTCCCCCTGGTCTTGTTTTTAGAAACCGAGCAACTTCTCATTATTTCTCTTTCCTGCTTCCTTTCCCACCTCTTTGCACTCTTTCTATCTACAAAGACAGCAGCAGGGGAATATTGATTGAGCACAATACAGCTCCATCACTGAGAAGCAAACATGAGGCAGATATTTTGACTACTTCATAAAACCTAAGCACCAAGTATATAAATTATCAGCTCTGAGCTGAAAAAAAAAAAAAAAAAAAAGCTTTAGCAAAGAAAATGGTTTGGGATGTGGATAGTCACACGCTAGCTCACTAGCTTACATGTTTTCAGGCTAGATTACTGGGGATACACTGATTGCTTAGCTCGTGACTGAAAAGGGAAAATTTCAAGCTTAACCTGCTTGAGCAGAGACAAGCAGGTTAAGCCATCAGGATTCTGAGTTTTATTCTGTTTTTCCTGTAGACAGCCAAACAGCTTGTTTTAAGTGTGAAACCTTTTACACTGAGGAAGCTCATAATTTGCATTTGCATCTGTAAGATTACTCATAAATTTAAAAAATGGAAATGTGGAATTTCAGAAGTCACTTAGTGATGATGAAAGCACTCCATTATTTTGACTGCCTTCTCCTCCATTTTCTTATGTGCTTGTTGTAAGCACTAGGCATACAGTTCCAGCAAAACATTCAGACAGCCCAAAACATTTTTAAGCAATTCACATGATTGACATTCACTACAACTCTGTCACTTATATGATATGTTAGAAACATCTTAAACATTTATTGGCCTCTCCAAAAATAGGGCTGTTGAAAATAAATGATGAATGTTAATCTTCTTTGAAAACTCCACATTTTATGCAGAGGTCAGTGCGCCAACTTTGAGAAATGTTCAAACTATGTTCACTTCAAAGTCCCACTGTGACATTTGCTTCAGCCTGTGTTTGAGACAAAGTGTTGTAGGAAGCACCATTGCACAGCAGAGAGCAAAAGTCAGCAGCAGCAGTGAGTCATGCACAGCTGGTACATCCAGACACATTTGGAATGGTTTTACATCACCCCTCATTTGGGGTTTAAAAAAACATATCTATATCTATCTATATATATATGAACATATTTGTAGATATATATATATATGGTGAAAAGAGCCACCATTTTCTACTCCATTTGCGTAAAAAGCAGGTTACAAAAGCTAAATCATTAAATCAGCCATGTTCCTCGGTTTGAAATATTCCAGGAGGCGTTCTGAAAGAGAGGGAGGCTTGTGGTCGATGGAAGTTTAGTTTGAGTTTGCTAAATAACTGATTACCAAATTGACTAAAATCATCTCAGTGCAAAGTGTTGCACCAGAAGCTGACGTGTTCGCTCCCTCCAGCCATCTTGGGTGGATCATTTAAGTCAGGTCTCCTCGTTTCCGCAGGTCGTTGTGTCAACAAACATTGCCGAGACGTCCCTGACCATCGATGGAGTGGTGTTTGTAATTGATCCCGGATTTGCAAAGCAAAAGGTTAGCCTCCCCTTTCTCCCACCACTCTTTATCTGCTGTGATCATCTGTGTCTGTTGGCTGAGAATCCCCAGATAAACACAGCAGTGCACAACTGACAGCGGTAGAGATGGAAAAGCCTGTTATTTATTCCTCTGACATTTCACCAGCCTGGAGCCAAGTCATACACATGGCACAAAAAAGATTATATATGTACTGTGGTGGATTATGTGTATGTGTCACTCTGCAGCTTGTATGTTTTACAGATGGTTGGTAATGGTATTTATTTGCTGGGCGACTTCATTTTTACCCAAGTCTGATTTTTCTCTTTTTTTGTTTTTTTGTTTATCTCCTCCTCAGGTGTATAACCCTCGTATAAGAGTGGAATCCCTTTTAGTTACAGCCATTAGCAAGGCCTCTGCCCAACAGCGAGCAGGTCGAGCTGGACGGACACGTCCAGGAAAGTGTTTCCGCCTTTACACGGAGAAAGCTTACAAGACAGAAATGCAGGTAGGAAATAGGGTAGTTTGGCAATTATTGAATATATGTTAGGTGTAAACACATGATTGATTCTTATTTCTCACCTTCTGCGGTGCCATAAGCAACCCCCAGAGCATCCTCCAGGCTGGAGAAGCCTTCTGTTATGCAATTTTGTCTTTCAAAAGTTGCGTGTTTGAAACTCGTTGCTAACACTTTTTCCAACTTTTAGATTAAGCTGTGTAAGCAAGGTACCCACCTTTTGACAAATGTACTTCAGGAAGCTCAGCCTTTTATTGAAACAGATTACCAAAGTTCTTTAACATCACTCTTCGTGGCATAGGACATTTTTAAACAAAGTAAATAGCCTTTCAAAGGCTGAGACTCCTTCCTTACTTTCTGGTCAAGTTGACATACAACGGATGCACGATGAGATAAAAAAGAACGCTGACAAATTAATTTCAACAAATCGTCCCTCTGACTTCTTGTGTGCCTCTCTAATGCCTCAGAACAACACGTATCCAGAGATCCTGAGATCTAATCTTGGCTCAATAGTGCTGCAGCTGAAAAAACTGGGTATTGATGACCTGGTGCACTTTGACTTCATGGATCCCCCAGGTTAGTTTGATTTGATAATTGACCTTGATTGATTTGCTAACTTGATTTATTATTTATTTTCTTGAATTTCTTATGGATTTTTTCTTTCTTTTCTATGACCATTCATTTTTGCATTCCATCGCCACTTCTGTGTCTGTCATTTTTACAGGGTTATGTATTTTATATCTGTGGGACGATGTCTTCACACTCAAAACGCAACTTAACCTTTAATTAGCTTTATAATCGGTGAACTGAAACTGCTAATCAAGTTTAATTTTTATGTTGAAATGGATTTACGTTTATCGGGGCTACAGCCTCCGGTAAGAAAAACAAAAGGCATTTCAATAAATGAATAGAAAACAATATTCTAATGTTAGATTATTATTAAGACACCTGCAGTCAAACCTCAAAAGAACCTAAATTAATTGGTTTGAATTCGTTTGAATAAAATTGGAATGACTGGGACTAATGGTGTCTTTTTAAGCTACTAATATCAAAACCCTCATAAGATATGATTTCAATACATAAACAATTTTACCTGAGCCTGTTTCCATTTCACTCAGTAGGATTTATCTCTTATTAGAAAAACTTTGCCCAAGTCTGTACCTCTTAACAAGTTAAAACACCTGCTTTCACACACAGGTTGAATAAATGCAGTCTCAAATCAAAAGTGTGCCGTATGATGAATGAGCTGCTAACTGAGTGCTACCACTTGTGAGGTGTCAGTTAACCTGCCATCATAACATTTAGAACTCCATATCAGACAATGTGATTTATGATGATGCATTTTATTAGTTCCACTCGAATTCAGAAAAATGTTGCAGCAAATTAGTTAGAGGAGCAATTACATTTAGCTGATATATAATTGTTTTGATGTATGATGTCTGAAGTCGAGGTTGGGTGCTTTCTTTGGATAAAAACAACAAGACACAGAATGGATCAGAGAGCAAAACGGCTCTCCATCACATATTTTTGTCAGCAGTTCACATTTAGTATTTATCATTGGCGTCCAATATGAGAAATTTGCATTTTTGAGTTTGTGATTGGGTCAGTGTGTATAATCACTGGCTGGCAGTGTTTTCATGGTCACCTTAAACACTGATATTATTTAATTGAGGCACCGTGTTGAAGCGTTTTCCCAGAGAATGTGTTCTGACATCTTCCAGAGTAGGACACCCCTCCTTTCCCTATCTTTATCCCCCACCCCCCTTTTTTCTCACCATAATATAGTTTTCATCTCACCTCTGAGATTAAACCCATCTCTCCCCGTCCACTGTGGCAAACGCCATTTTGAGAATGAAATTGGTTACATCAATAGCAACACTATCACCTTTGCAATTGCCTTCCCTTTATATTCCTCCGGTGAAACGTGACTGACCTCCACACTACAGCCATGTTTCTCACAAAATACCAGGATATACCTTAACATATGGGCTTGGCCTTGTCTGCGGACACTAACTGGAAGTAGTGGGGTGAAGGAAAAGTGGAGGATTACCCTTTTATTTGTTTGATCGACTCGTGGCAGGGGGTTCTCAGAAGTCACTCCTCTGCAGAAGTCAATCTGGAAACTGAAACTAGTAGGGGGCAAGTCTGCTTTAAAACCAAGAGTTACTCGGCAAGTTTTATAACCTCTATTTGCGGTGGATGACTATCGATACACTGTATCAAAGCCTGATCAACAGGTGAAAGAAGCATTAAAGGTCTATGTCAGACAACGATGATTAGACAAACGTATAACACAGCTTTTTCTTTGGATGTTTAAAGCTTTTTCTGATTGTATTTGTTTGTTCATAGGGCGTCTTTGTTTTTATGTTCAAAATGTGGGGTTAGGGTTAGTTTCAGTTGTGACAATAGAAATCAGGAGCGATTCACACAAGCACTTGGTGCTGTGTTTTTCATTTTGTTCGTGACATTTCCAAAAAGTACCTTTCAAAGCCAGTGTGGTTTAATCTACCTTTAGCCTTTTGCCTCATTGATCGGCCCTAGGTTAATATATCGGAATCTTGTGTGTTGAGGCAGTCAATTTTTACTTTCTGATGAGTCGCGTTGGATATTGATTGAATTTCCACACTGGTTCATCATGCCAGCTGTACTTGGAAATCAGATTTTCCCCATTTGTTCAGTCCCACACAAGCCATTGGAGTGGTAAGTAACTTGGCCAGGACTCATTAAGTGTATGGGGGGAAAAAATGTAAAAAGTAGCTTTGATTCCCCCAATCAATATTTGTTAATCATAAAAAAATACCTCCCTGCTGTTTGAAATTGAATTTTTTTTGGGATCACTTGAGAGAAATTAAAGCAAGCATGGACCCCAGCTTCTGCTTGAAGCTAATTTTCAGTTAACATGCAACTGGTCATTAGGCTTTAGCTCTGGAGAGCCAAAGGTCAATAATTGCATCTGGAGGAAAAATCTTTTAACCAAACGGTGAAAGCCTTTTGTGTTGAAGCATTAAGTAGAAAGTTCCCCTGTAATTGCATTAGTTGTTTAGGATTGCCTCAGTGCAGGATGAAAAATGAGCCCTGCCATGATTACTTCTCGGCTACGTTGCTGTCTAGTGTAACTCAGGCCATCACACACCAACTGCCGTCTCATTCTGATTCACCTCATGCTTCCTGCCACCAAACCTGCTAACAGCTCCCCTTTGTTTGAGAGTTTGTGTCTTTCCTTAACAAGCATTTGTCTCCTATTGAAGCTCAAGAGTAAAGCAGGTGATGGAAGTGTTTTGTGCTTTTTCCCCCCTGTCTTTCTGTTTTTTTAACCTTGGGCTTTTTTAATACTCTGCCAGTCAGTCAGGTTGCCAGTCACCCTGTTAACCGTGAGAATGTTTCTATCTCAGTTAATAACTGACAGGCCTTATGGCATGAAGTTAAATCTCTGGGTTAAAAACATTTTTGATTAAAGCTAAAAATAGCAAATATCCATGTTTAAAAAAAAAAACATATTGATTTATTAACAATTTCTAGCCACCCAGTTGTAAATGTGTAACAGGTTTTAAGTATAAAATTTTATTTGAAAAATTAGAAATGAGGCTTCCTTTGCAAACAAAGCCAGCAGTGTACTAAATTGTAAGTAAAAAATTGAGTAATAAATGTCAGAAATGTTGTTTAGCTTACACAATTATACTGCAGATCTTTCCACCATAACACAGGGATATTTAGTGATCATCTGATGAAGGTGTCTGACTCCCACCATAAACAAAGATTTTAAATAAATGCTAATGGAAATCTGGGTGTTAATAAATGTTGCGTTGGCGAATGTTATTGAAATAATGCCATAATGGGTGCATGCCGTACACATGTGTAAATTTGTTTACCAAAGATGATGTGACTTCGATTGTGAATTTGCAGTGTGTTGTTATGACCAAGGAAGGAGCCTGTCATTTGTGGGTTTGCTGTACAGGACAAGTCAAAAGATCTGACATATATACCGTATGAGAAGATTCTGAATCATTCTCAAGTGATGCAACCATGAGAGAAATTACGTTTTTGCCCATGGACTTTGAACGGTTCAAACAGGCTGTCGCTCTCATTCTGTCCTTTAAAGCCCCAGAGACCCTAATGCGAGCCCTTGAGTTGCTGAGCTATCTGGCCGCACTAAATGACGACGGTGACCTGACGGAGCTGGGCTCCATGATGGCAGAGTTCCCCCTGGACCCCCAGCTGGCCAAGATGGTCATCGCCAGCTGTGAATTCAACTGTTCCAATGAGGCCCTCTCCATTACCGCCATGTTGTCAGGTAACGCTCATGGCTGAATCACCATGGACACACGGACTGTGCTTCAGAATGGAGAGCTGAAGGAAAGATATTCAGGACCGCTCTCACATTTACCACATCCATTTTGGAGTTGTTAAAGAATCTGTTCTGTACTTACCAAGGCTACGTTTTACAAACAGTCCACACTCTAGATGTTGAAGACTACTTAGAATATATGTAATGAGTGCCTACTGAACTTATCCAGGCAAGTGGAGTATAAAGTCAGTGGTGTCAGCTGTTTCTGAGGACGTAGAAAAAAATACATGTCTGAACAAATTGTATAGGTGTAGTTGGAGCAGCACCAGCACGCTACGGCAGTAATTGCACTTTGGGCTTGCCAAAGCAGAATGCTGCTCATTGAGATGAATCTTGACGCCTTTGAAGGGAGTGCGAGGGTCTTTGAGAGTGGGGAAATGGATTTAACTAGCTGCTTGGACGTGGTGTGCACTTAAAGCAGGTGTTTCAGGATGGAAGGTTTTTGCTGAGTTCATTAAAGTAAGCTGTAGAAGTACACCTGAGAATGGTGCTGCCACAGCAACCAACCATGAGGCTCAATAAACACAGCTTTTATCCATTAAAGGCACAATCAAGCATGTGTGATGTTAAGCAGTTTGGAGCCAGTTGACAGGGGAGAGAGCGGAACCAGGGAGACGGCCAATGTTCCGTTGCTGGATCATGCCTGTAAAAGCGAGTGCTTGTTTGGCCTGGGTGTCAGATATTAGCAGATATTGTCTCATGCCAGATAGTAGTAAAACTGGATGTAAAAAACATCCGTCTTCCCTTCTGTTTGAACCCCTTTCTTCCATAAACTCTTGGCAATGCAGTGTGCCCTGTGAAGTGCTCTGTGCCTCTCATAGCTGAGGCCTTGTTCTTCTCTGTGGGATTTGCTTAACTTATCCCTATGGGTGGCTGTGTTGGGGCCTATACCAACCTTGTTTAGTCCCACAGTGCTTTGTCCGTCCAACGGAGGCCAGGAAGGTGGCTGACGAGTCCAAGCTGCGCTTCGCCCACATCGATGGAGACCATCTGACGCTGCTTAATGTCTATCACGCCTTCAAACAAAGTGAGCGGGCCGTTTGACTCATGTTTCATTGAATAGTTGCACGTGGTCCGCATGTGCTCTTAATCAGGGATTGTCATTGTCTGTCGCACAGATCACGAGTCCACCCAGTGGTGCTACGACAACTTTGTCAACTATCGGTCGCTCATTTCTGCTGACAACGTACGCCAGCAGCTGTCCAGGATCATGGACCGATTCAATCTGCCTCGAAGGAGCGTCGACTTCAGCAGCAAAGACTATTACAACAACATCGGCCGAGCACTGATCACCGGCTTTTTCATGCAGGTCAGTGATCCGACTTTTTTTTCTAAAATCTTTGTCTTGAATTTGGTGTTAATCAGTGTTTTCTGTGCCTTGTTTCTTCTGGCTACTCTTCATATCTGAGGCAGAATTGTCACTGCTGAACTGGTGATGTTGATTATCTTGAAAATAGTGTCTTTATTTGATTTATTTCATTTAATTCAATGATTACAAAATGATGCAGTAGAGAGATGCCTTTAAAGCATGCATGCTCATGCCCACGCACAGACTGCTGCTGTGTTTTAGACACATAAGAAATCAAATTAATTTGTCTCTCGCTCAGGAAAACAAATGGTAATTTAGCAAGAAGCCATTTTCAGGGCCACCTGAAACAAGCAACCTGACAAGTTGAATTATGGTGTTAATATTTAAATATTTGTCAACATTAACCTTTATCTTGGAGACAGATTTGCAGCTCATGTTCAAGCGTGATCATGCCTTTGGCTGGAAAGGCCTTTATTGAGACTGATTGCCTTTGTTTAATCATGACCGCCACAGCAGCTTGACCAAGTGTCTGCAAAGTGGGGGGAAAGAAAAAAAATCCCTGACTGGTTGCAAATTAGTCTTGACTGCTCCTTTTTCATTTGAGCATTAAATCTTCTCAGATTTGTGTTGGTTTTACCGCTTAAGACATGATATGAAGGATTACAAGATGACTTGTTTGTGATGCATTCTTCCAGTTTTCTTCAGATTTGTATTCCCGGGTTCACTCCTAACCAGATTCTTTTTCTTTCCTGTGAACAGGTCGCTCACCTGGAGCGCACAGGTCACTACCTAACAGTAAAGGACAACCAAGTCGTCCAGCTGCACCCCTCCACTGTGCTGGACCACAAACCTGAGTGGGTGCTCTACAACGAGTTCGTACTCACCACCAAGAATTACATCCGCACATGCACAGGCGTCAAACCAGAGTGGTAAGTTTTAAAGTGGGTAATGTCCCACCACATCTCCGCTTCTGCTGAGAGCGTGTTTAAAAGGGGACGAAAGTTTAAAAATGTTTCCAATCAATTTTGGTCATATTCCAGTGAATTAATTTGGTCACTGAATTACAATTCCCTTGTCAAACTTTAGAAGCTCCCATCAGTGCAATGTTTTTGTTTTTGTTTGGAAAGTTACTGAAAAAAGTATTATTATTGGGGATAGAATGAGACGCAGGTCTCACCAGTGTAAGTTTATGTGCATCACTTAAAATCAGCCAAACTGCAGCAATTCTTCTATCCGTGTTGCTCCTTCCCCTGCGACCTCCTACAATTATGTATCACATTTGTTGTGCGTGCTCCAGTAGCCACCTTGTGAATATGGAAGAAAAGCTTTCTCCCACAAGTAAACACTGAAGACAATTTTTGTGACTAATGTTTACTTGCTTTCTTTCCTAGGCTGGTGAAAATTGCCCCGCAGTACTATGAGATGAGTAACTTCCCCCAGTGTGAAGCAAAGAGACAGTTGGAGCGTATTATTGCAAAACTCTCATCCAAGGAATACACTCAGTACTAAATAGGTCCGCATGCACTGCTGCATCATCCTCGGTAAAAGTAACGTTTGACTTCTATCTTTGTGTCGCCACATCAGATGAATTTTCATCATGGCTGATAATTGCCTACCTTCTGTATTCTCTTTTTGTCTTTTAATATTTGAGTTAAGCACATTATTACATTTGCAATTTTAAGTAATTGCAAATTTCCATATTTCCTTGTTTTGCCTTTGATATAAATAGCACTGATTGTTTGGGATAGACTCTTGATCAAATGTCATTTGTACATTATTTTGATGGAAACCAAATGTAATATTAATGTCTTTTATTGGGCTACTAAGATGACCACAATTCCTGTCAATTGTTAGACTTAGTATAAATTACTTTTGCAACAATTTCCCCTCTCTCAGAATTGAAATAAATTCAAATAAAAGGATAATTTGTACATAAACCTTTCATTCTTCACATGTATACGCGCACAAGTGTTCACATCCCGACCTGCCAAATCCTGCTAGTTTTCCTGGCTCTTCTGGGAAGTTAAATCTTCTTACTGAGATATTGATAGCTCCAGAAGCAGTTGGAGTTGGAGGGGAAATGTTAATTACAAATGTTTCAGAACAATATCAGTGTGAAGTCCCTGCTGTGCTGCAACCTGCGCTGGCTGCACGGCTTTGTGTCAACGCCTCTCTAATGTGAAGGCACAGGCAAGTTTTTGGGAGATGTTGGACCCCTTGAGCAGTGTTTTTTTTACCTGATCAGATCAAAAGAGGGCTATTGAATTTTTATGTTCTTGTTTGGTTATTTTGCAATGATGATTTTTTTTTTCACTCATACTTAAATTTTTTCCCTAATTTCTTTGCATCATTATCCAGAATTAAAAACCATAGTTTGGGCTTTTATGTAATTTAAGTCACGTATCATACCCCTCTAAAGGAAGTATGAAGTGTTTTTTTAGATAATTATTTCAATTATTTAATTGCAAATGTAATTTTCTTTTGACCAATTTTACTATTTTGTGTTCGATACAGTCTGATACTTGCAATAAAAAGTTATATGACTAATCTAATTAATTTGTTTTCCTTAAACAATACGGATAGAATGCTTTTATAAGACATCAGATAGGAGATAGATGTTATTTAGATAATACCACACATCCATTAAGGTATTCATATCAGACCAAACTAAAAATAGAGCCAGTTAAGGTCAGATTGGTCTTGGCTATGTTTGCTTCCTGCACCGTCCCAGGGAGAGCATCACCCGCACTTGGGGGAGAAAGTGTATATTTCAATTGGAAAACATGATAGTGAATGTGGGTTATTTTTCTTGTCAAAGTCATTTATAAATTGTCACAGAAAACCGGGAATAGTTGATAGGCTCTTAGCATTTAGAGACATGGCTATGCTAATCAGTTTAAGTTTTGTTAAAACGGCACAGTGCAGGATTTGTTCTCTGCCTCACAGCTTTACATCAACTGAAACAAACCCACACAACACTTAACTAGGTATAGTGCCAGAAATGAGCATGTAAGCATTTTCACAGTCTCTGTAGTGTCTGGGTGTAGGCAGGCAGATTCACCAGACCCGCTTGGGGGCTTTTAAAATTAAGCCTGCAGATTGTGTAATATGCCAAGTCAGGAAATTAGCATGTGTGTTTAAATTTTTTGGGACTGTTGGGAGAGGAGTTTTTAAGTAGATGGTCTTTTGCTCGGGAACACGTACAAAAACCACAAAATGGTGCCGGAGATATTAGTCTTCCTCCAAAGTGGCGCCAATAGAAAAGCCATTAGTTAGAGCTGATCTGAAAATTATAAGGAATTGATCCTCAGGTGGGAGCGGTTTTTCATGCTCAATGTTTCCATTGATTTGTGCTGCCATAATTACAAATGAAAATCTTTCTCTCCAAGTTGTATTTCCATGGCCTGATGTTAGCAGGTGCTCTTTCTTCCTGTCCTTTATCTGTGCAGATGTTCATACAGCAGCATTCATGTCGTGGCTGAAGATGAGAAATTTGGCAAACTGGGATGAGGTTTGTATCATTTTCCCAGGCCTTAGAAGTTACCGGAGGTCAATGATTCAAAAGTGTATTTTACCCCACAGCTGTTATCACATGCTCTCTTGGCCATGGATTGGCCTTTTGACAATTGCCCACCAAAAGTAACAAACACGAACAGAAAGCAGACAGCGATTCTTCAGCGTGTTTCCAAACAGGATGAATCACCAGCTCACTACAGCTCAATCTCCCACCACCCACAGAGTCCTGGATGGTGCCTCATCACCATTGGAGCCCGTGGGTAGGGAAGTTTATTGCAGAACACCTCAGCATTTCAGGAAATCCTTCCACCCACCTAGTCGTCCTCCTCCCATTCAGAGTTGGTCAACCCCCCCCCCCCCACCATTACCAAGACAGGTGTCTTATCTCCATCGTGCAGCAAAAGCACAGCCAATCTTCCAGTAAGATGGTGACTGGAATGTGACAAATCCATCTGTCCTGGTTTGAATTTGTATGCTAATTTGAAGTAATAGCCCCTCTGGTGACAGTGCAAGGGAACAATTCAATCATGCCATCTATGACAGTTGCTTTCCAGCCTTCTCTGTGATAGGGGAATATATGCACATATTGCTGGGTTTAGGCTTGATAGATTGGTTATGTTGCCGAGATGTGGCATGCAGACTGCATGTTTAAAATGGGCTGCCAGTTTGAAATGAGTCATGCAACTACTGCAAGCACCTGTGCAGAAATGTGCAGTCGCTACCTGTGGGCTGGGATCTGTCTCCGTTTATTTCCTCACAACTCCTCTGTGGTAGAAACCTTCCTGAACTTTTACTCAATGTCACTGCCACGTCCCTCCAGAGGTTTGTGTCAGTGACAGAAGTATCTACACAAAAATAAAATCGGCTGAACATAGTCGTTAGATGGTTACACTGAATTATCTGAGGCTGTTGTTTTGATTCTGCGAGGAGCTTTCCAAGTGTCACCTGGCAGAAGGAAACACTTTCAAGAAGGTGCACAAAAGATAGAAGTGAAAGTATAGGAGCAAATTGAGCCCCCACCCCCCGAGAAAGTAATCTTTAAATGAATCTACAGAACAGGTTTTGGTTGATGGTTGCAGATAAGGCTAAAGAACAAACCACCCCTCATTTTGCTTCCATCAATCTTTTTCTTCACCTCGTGTTCAGATCTCTCTCTCTTCCATGCTGCTGAGGTCGTTTATCGCATCTGTTCCGTTCATAATGCATTTCTTTGCACTATGACACAAAATCATCACAGAAGGTGTCACTGAGTGATCCGAATCTTGGTAAACCCTTTATTTTGCAGCTTTTCAAAGCACTAAAGTGTGTTTTATCACAATTGACAATTTTGACACCGCTTGTATGGCTCATGAGAAAGAACAAGATAAAATGTGTAGGCTGGATCACCACAGGATACATCCCCTGTCTCCCTTACACTCACTGCCACAGTGAAAGAATGTGGAGCTCTTGGCCAATTGACCACACTTCAAAAGGGTGCGGATCATGCGTGGCAAACGTGTTTGATCAAACAAGGGGGAGCAGCAAAGAAGACTGATGCACGGAGAAGGCCTTTCTAAATACACACCTCTTATATCAAGATAAATAGTGTGCTAAAAGACAGCTCTCCAAATGAGGCCTGTTGGCATTACTTGCCTTCAACAATTTCTAGAAAATGAAAGATTTTCTGTGCTCAGCACAGCTGCTTGTGTGGAACAAATCATTTGAAATGGCATTGTCTTTGCTCTCACTGAAGAACATTTTCGTCGATGTTAGTTCCTCGTAATTTGCATTTAGACATTAACTACCAATTACATGAGAAGTATATCTAAATGTATATATATATATAATTTAGTTGTTCCCTGTAAAAAACTGTGCCAGTTTTGATGTTCACAGAACTGTAAGAAATAGAATTTCCGAAGATTCTGAAAACATTGAATAGTATAGTCTAACAATTGTTCTTTATTCTGATGAGAGGTTGTCTTCTATATCAGTTACTTCCAATTTGGGATTAACTGAATTAACCTCTGGCTGAACGTCTGCCGGCTGTGTAGTATTTTATGCATATTGTACTCATCAAATAATGTAAGGGAGTACAGAGAGGAGGAAATGAGTTGTAGATTATTCTGGGCTAATTGCTTATCAAGTGGTGACAGATGAAGCAAGAATGACAAAACTAAGAAATTTACTTTGGATTTCACAACATAATGGCGTAGCGGATCCATATGGTTGTTTGCACTTGTACTGACCGATTAACCCTCTGCCAAGGCTGAAGTCTGACTGAGCTGTGCTGGAAATATGTGACATCAGCAGCATGTGTGAATGAACAGGACAAGTGATATGGGTGGAAGAAGAACAACAAAGCAAACAGCAAGTACAAGAGAGATGTCATGCATGCTCTGTGTACAGCTGAGAAGGGTTTATAACAGTTGACAGCCATGGTCATATGTTAACTAATTATAAAGGTCAGTGATATGGTTAATACAACAAAATTAGTTCAAGCTATTTTAGCTGTCACACAGAGAAGGAATAAGTAGAGAATAACTTAAAGCCTCTCGACATTTGGGTCTGCCATGGTTATATTTTTCGCACAGACAGAATGCATCTACCAGTTGGGCAATGACAACATACCTGTCAGCTGCCCATGTGCAGAACACAGCCTTTGGTTTTGTTTCGGAACTTCCTGTCCAAACAGGAAGGGACGTTTTTCAAGTAGTCGATGTGCAGCAACGCAACTTACATTCAAGTTTGGTCTACTGATGTTACGTCGTCTCCCCTGGAAATGCTTTTTTTTGTTAAAATAATTCCACAACTTTCTTTACTTTCAATGAATCTTAATTGTTCTATTTTATGTACTTCCTTTTAATTTCAGATATTTTCTCTCAATTGTTTCCCCCGATTTGGAATTTTTTTTTTCTTTTGAGAAATGTTACTTTAGTTTCCGCTTGTTTTTTTATGATTATTTTCTTACAGTATATGATTTTTCTGTTTTAGTGACTCATTTATTTTCCAGTTTA